AAATTTGTAGATGCAAAATTTCACCTCCACAAGTCAAAACACTTGTCCCAGGAATCCATTTCTTATTAAAAATACTGAAGTATATGACAGAATTTACATGATTCACTGGAAACTGTATTTATATACAAACCATTGGATTTGTTTAGGACCAACCATAAAGTTAAAGGACTACATGTGTTCCATTGATTGGTAAGAGCAAGCTGCACTAGTAAAATGCATTCAGTTATTTTGATCTAACTTCATTTATCTGCCTACAGTTTTTAAACTGACTTCCTTCACCTCAAATTCTTCACACATTTTGTAACTGATCCCTCTATCTCCTACTGTGACCACTCACAGTGGTCTTTCCAGTTCCCCCTGGCAGTAAACCATATTTCAGCTAAGGAGATCTTTTTCTGACCTACTATAATGCCTTCATTCAAGAATAAAATATTTTTATGAGGAAGAGGGCATCCTCTACAAGATCACAGAATGTAGTTTACTACTTGCTACATTCATTCTGTGGCCAGTTTCTTTGGAAAGAATAGCAAAAATTTGTTCACAACTAACCACTACCTTCATAAGCATGCATACTGTCAGTGTAGACGGTTAACTTCAGAATGAGATATCACAAATAAAGAACTTCTTTTAAGTACTTTTTGCTTAACAAGTATTTCAGCTCGTGAGAAGAAGTAAGGGTTTGTGAAAATGAGGGTCAGTTATTTCTCATTCTTGAATTTCACATCAGTAAATAAAAAGCTGGTTTAGAAAAAAAATTAGATTTCTGCGAATAAATCTTTCTCTCTTTTTTGTTTCACAGTGAACAAAATGTTTGATGAAAACACATGACAGTACCAAAGACTCCATATCATATCATACATATATCATCAGAATAATAAAGCAATGACAAGGGTTATTATCACTGTTGTGGTTATCACCACATTCACACATTTTCCCACTCCCTTTAATGTGCTCTGGGTGAGCCTAAAGGAAGCATCTCTAATCGCAACCAGTCAAACCAATCTTAATATCCACAAAGCCTTTTTAGGTGGTAGGAAATTAAACTGAAGACAATAGATGGTTTAATACACACAGGACCAGGAACACAAGCAAAGACTGCACAATTGACTGAAGTTCCAAAAAGGATTAAAAACTCCCTTTCTACTGCTGCCTCATATGATCAGTGAAACCGCAGAAAAGATGTTGCATTTCTTTGTTGCTCACGAATCTAATTAAATATAATCCCCTTTTTCCCAGACCTCACATTTAATTAGCAGTAGCACACAATTTCCATTCAACACTCTTATTTCAACAAGCACATCTTCCCAAAATTTCAGCCACTGCCTTGCCAGGGAAAAAAAACAAAACCACTTTTTATGATGACATATATCCTGCAATTATTTCCTTGTATGGATGTGAGTATCTCATTTTCCTTCTGTCTCATTTTCTCTGTCTCTCCTTCCCTCCTTTCCTGTGACCACCTACGCTTACATATTCTGACCTGCCACCCTGCTTTTATTGTTTGTACATATTGATAATCAAATGTACCTTTACTTCTGTGGAAAACTCAACCAAGTACTGAGCCTGGTTAGGACTTTTGGATTGTGTCTACTGCCAACTGAAGTATTTATTGAAAGTATTTCAATAAATATATTAATGGCATATAAGTATTTGCCTCTAATATAACGTAAAAATTCTTTTGAGGTTTTACACAAATTATTTTATCACTATCAAGATTTACATTTAGCCAGACAGACTTGATTTGTGTGCTCGGGAGTAAGTCTTGATACACTGTGTGGTTTGGAAGAAACAGCAACGTGCTGAGGCATTTTGGCTTCTGTATTTTATAAACAATAACAACATATTTCTAACCTAAACATAGATTTGGAAAAATAAAGGACTGGCCAAGTTTTTATACACTCAACTAGAAAACAGCATTTACAATACATTTTAAAATAAATGAAATATTTTGTGTTAGATTCCTTCAAAATGGGAAAGTTTGTAACAACAGCTCAACAACTACAATATCCTAGAACATAAACAGTTACAGAAGGCATGAAGATATTATACTATGGGATATATTCTTTCAAATACAGTCCAGATGCTCACAAAGGCTTATAGACTCACATGTCTCAATACACACAGTTGTACAAGCCATACATTTTAGAAGTAACTGACATAATGGCAGAAATTTTAAAAAGCTGGAGGAAATCTAAAATGTGAACATGACTCCATTTTGGTCAATCAAATACCTTTTACAAACTGCATCAGGACTAGAACTAACAGAGGTTTGCACATGGAAGTGGTTCCAAGCTGCACTGAGGTAGGTATAGACTGGGCATTAGGAAGCATTTCGTTACTGAGAGGGTGGTCAAAGAAAGGAAGAGGCTTCCTAGAGAGGTGATGATGCCTCAGGCCTGCCAGTTTAAGAGGCATTCGGGCAATGCCTTAACGACAGTCTAATTTAACTTGGTCAGCCCTGAAGTGGTCCAGCAGTTGGCCCTGACGATCATTACAGGTCCCTTCACACTGAAATAGTCTATTCTATTCTATCTCACTCTGCTTCAGAAATATGACTAATCAAATGAAATGCAAATCATGATGAGATAATCTTTAGTTTTGCAACAGTAAATAATCCTCATCAAAAAACCTGAACCATCTTAAATGTATAATCTAAATAATACATTAAAACTGCAATCATCTGTAATTCTTTCCTGTAGTAAATAGCTGTGACAGCAAGGTGGTCTAATTAGACTTACAGACAGACTAAACAATCCAATCCCAGAACTTCTACAGACATATAACACAAATTGTGAGCAAAGAAGGTATACCACATATGCTATTAAATTAAGATTTGCTGGCAAATTAAATTTGCTGCAGATAAAAAAAAACAAAGGGAGTTTTAACTGGAACATTCTCTACTTTGTCTATCAACACTAGTAAGAGGAAATTTATTTACCATTCATAGGAGTAATCTGTTTGAAAGCTTGCATTGCATTTCTCAGATGCAGTTTAAAACCCTGACAGAGCCAGTGACTATTTTCTGAGCATGCCAGGTAGGATTTAGTAGTAAAATATTGAGAATTCAATTGATATAACAATGATTAGGTTGCAGTAGGAAAAGAATCACGAAACAGAGAACAGTATCACTTAGAACAGCAGAGGTAAGCATGCAGATGTATCCTACTGAAAAGCAAAATCAATTTTCATATCAGGAAATGTCTTTTTGTCCTGTGTGACTCTGTTGCTCCTGGACTAAATGGACAACCATTTGGAGTTTCCCTATATCAGAAAATGGCATCAGCATTACTGTGATCTTGAGTGAAGGAAGCTGAAATCTCTCTCTCAGCACCTTGTTAAGCTAGCAAAACTTCCCAAAAAATGGACTGAAAATAAATTTCATAGATTAATGTCATTAGTAACCATTTCAGGAAACATGAAGAAAAGAGAGAGCAAGCAGGAAACACAGGCAGGAAAGAGCAGGAGCTGATTTTTCTCCACAGTCTAACTAAGTACAAGAGCCTCCTTACAGCAAAACATTTCCAAATATATATTCATTATGTGCTTTTTTATGTTATGCATATTTTTCACAATTTTCTTTCAAACAGAAGAGATCTTGACAAAAGTATGAACTAAAACTTTAGCCAAAAGCTTAAACATTGGAAAGTAGCAAAAATGTTCATTCACTTCTGACAAAATACTGGAACTTGTCACAGAAATTCAAGACAAATAATCCTCCCCAGGCATTTCAGCAGACTACAAAGGCTACTTTAACATTAAGAAATAAATCCAAAACATCCCCAGAAGTCTGAAGAAGCAAGATGTAACACAGACAGAAGCAAATCTAAGTTTGGTTTTGTTTCGGTTTTTTTTTCTTCCATGCTAAAGGAAGAATCTATAACTAAACCAGGGTGTTTAACACCCCAGTAAACTTTTCTCTCAGAACAAAACCGGAGGAAAATAGTGTTAGAAGTATGGATACTTTCTATAAAACATAAAACTACTAATGACACACATGTGAGCTTTGTTATGGCTTTGTGAAATACACACAGATCCAAACCAGAGGAAACCGACTTGTAATTTGATCTTATTTTTACAGCTATGTATATCAGAGACAAGAATACATGATTGTATTCAGTTAGATCATTTTTTTTTTTTGTAAATGTATAGCTCTTCAGGTGATTTCTAACTTATTCTGTGAGAAATTCCACATATTGGTCACTGAAGACCACCTGTACATTGCATGTGTATTTCTGTGTTCTTCAAACCAGTAGCCATCGAATATAAACTGACTCCAGCATCCAAATTATTTTAGTTACACAAAACAACACAAACCTTTTTCTTCCTTGTAGAAAGGAGTTACTGCTCACTAACTTCTTACTGTCTGGCAGTATACATAAGACATTTTAGAGGACACTCTACAGCTGGGTGGAATTGGTATTCAATATTCACAATAGTGATGAAAACAATAAATGTTGTGATAAATCAGGATGTTTTTTTTCTGTAGAACCACAGCCCTTAGGCAACAGAACTGCCCTGCAATCCAGCAAAGCAAACTGCCCCTACAGAGCCAGGAACAGTGCCCCAAAAGGGAATACTCAGTATGTAGCTACCAAACTTTGCTAATGACTAATATTTTCGTCACAATAAAATCATCATCTGCTGCTTTGGGAGACACAGTCCATGTACCCTTTTGTGCCAATGACATTAACATCATGTAGTTTACTATTCTAGGTATAAAGAAAAGTTTAGGGAAGTAGGAAACAGTGGGGGAAAATACGGTTCAGAATTCCAGGTCAATTTTTTTGTTCCCAGTTTGGTCATCAGTTGTTGATGACCTGTGAGGGAAGTCGTGTCACCACATGTCAGAAACAGACTGAATTTTAGAACAGATTTGAAATTGCTTATCTGTTCCATAGAAACACATTGAAAATTGACATATTTTCATAGGAAACACTTAAATGGCTTCACCAGAAGAAGGCACTGTGTAAATATGTACACACATACATAAATCCCCTTACCTTCCCCAGGACTGACTGCAGATGGTAGACTGGTCCAGTCTAGGGTCCAGCTGGGGCATGGATGTGGAGAAAACTTTGCTTCAATTCCATTTTCCTACATGAAAGTAAGAAAAAAATAAGTTAAGACCCTGATCCTTTATCACTGAAGTTGGTATCAAAATTCTCACTGAATTTAATGGCATCAGATCAACAACAACACCTTCAGCCTAACTGAAACTAAACAGGCAGATGACTCCACATTACATGAGATTCAAATTATGTATTTCTCTCATTTTCACAAGAAAGCCCAGTTAATTTTTTTAGGAAATGCTGTCAACCTCTATGCAAAAAGTACTGAGAGTTATGGAAAATGATGGACAGTTTTCTTTAACAAAACTCATTAGAGTTCCCAGATGTTCAAAGTTCTAACAAATAGTAAAAAAAATCAGAAAGGGTTGAATAATGAAGCCAAACATAAAAGCAACATAGTTCTTTCTCATCCTTTACATAAATATCTTTAAAAGATGAATACAACATGGAAATTCAAACAAAAAGTCACTTTGATTATTCTGAATTGTTGACAGGGCTTTCAGCAGTCCTATCTTTGCTCAGTTCCTAAATTGGTCAAATATCAAAAGAGGCAGAAAAAGTAAAATCAATTATAAATCAATTCATATTAGATATAAGAAAAGCAAGACGTATTAAACTGTTCAAGGCTGTCAGAATTAGCTTCTACAATTCCAATAAAATTTTACTTACTACAAATCAAGCAGAATATTGTTACTAAAACTAATTCATTAACAAGCTTAAATTACCATTAGCTTAGTCATAGTTGGCCTTGGACCACCTATAAAATGACTGTCTTCACTCTCCTCTTCTAACTCATCAGGAACTGAAGAGAAGTCCTGTGCCTCTTCCTCTGGAGCAGACATCAACTCTGGAAGTTGGAGAAGCTCCATATTGCATTTGCCAGCAGCTTTCTTTACTCCTGGTACTTCTTGAACTCTTTGATACCAACTGGATATCAGCGGCAAATTTACCAGGTTTCTGCCTTGTTTCTTGCTGGAAACCTAGAAAAATAAAATGGGAAGGTTACTTGCTACTGTAAATTTCTTCCTACAAGCCATCAGAATGCATGAACTACGGAAGTGAGTTCAGCTCCGTGCCGAGCACATGTATTTACAGCATGAGATGGTAACACAACTGCAGGTAGAATTGCCAGTTGGTCATTTAGACTTTATCTGCAATCCCTGTCTGCTTAACAGGATGAAAAGATTTACATGACCAGAGTTAATCATAATTTCAATCAGTAACAAAAAAAGCTCAATTTAAATAATATTCTTAACTATGTGCCATTTCCCAACACAAGAATGATTCCTTTTGGTTGGTAGTCAGAGAAAAACCCAGTGCAGTAATCTGCCATGAATACTGAATTCTAAGCAAGACCATCTGAACGTTGTACTTTCCCACAAGTAGCCTGCAGTTCTCAAAAGCTCATCCACCAACAGCTATTTTGCTGGGAACTGCAAGCCTGAAATACCTTACACTGTGGGGCAACAGCAAAACAGAAACAGGCATACATTTTGCCTCTTCTTTACTGAGGCCTTTGCACTACATCTGCAACTTTTTCTAGCAGTAGTGAATCAAATGTATTTCCTTTTTTAAAGCCTTGTATTTATTCAGACTTTTTTTACAATCTTAATTACATATTTTTGTACAGCAGTGGTAACCAGTATATTTCTTTTCTGAATTAAGTGTATTTGCTTATGAGTTGATGTGGCCTTCAAGAGAAATTAGAATTTTAAGTGTAAAAAGTAAAATAAAAAATTTCTTTAGTAAGAATACGTTGCACATCTTAAAAATTACACCAAATAACACTTTACATTAAAGTCTAGTTACTTTTAAAAAGGATGCATTTGGTGAAATTAAATAATTTTCTTTAGATTCCCAAATGTTTCAAAATAATGAAGATCATCCTCTTAACAGGAGAGGTTGTGAAGTCTCCATCCTCAGAAGCACACCCAAAATATTACTGGATACGATCCTGGAAAACCAGATTTAGCTGACCCTTCTTTAAGCAGGGGGGTTAGACAAGATGAGCTCCAGAGTTGCCCTCCAACCTCACTTATTCCAACCTGAACTACCCTATGATGCTGTGCCCGCTTTAAACAGAACATTAAAAATCATGATTACAGGAAATGGCCATGCAAACACAGCATTTCTCCACTTATCTGTCTGCAGCATGGAAACAGAAATTGGTAAAGAACACTTGAAATGACACAAAATTTCAAGCAGCTCTCTTGCATGCTGAGTTTATAGTATGCTCAGGGTAATCACAAATAATTAGCAATAGCCAAAGGAGCAAAAGAAGGACGAACTATGTGATTTTAGTGTCTAATTTAATACTCTAATAGTAACATAGGCAAAGATACATTAATTCAGTTAAGGAAGAAGTCTTTTGGAAAGCAATTCTAAGAGGCATTGTTACACTTGTTATTGAGTGTTCTAAATTGTATTTTAAAAACTGAATAGTGGTTTCTCCCAGATGAGGAACTGAGCTTCTGTTGAACTACTATTAATTTTCAGCAGTTACAACTAATAGAAAGTGTAACAAAGCTAACCTCAGAAAGATAACTGCAATGGAATGAGGTAATAGAAAACAACTCTTCAGCTTCATTATCTTACTTTTGGTAATTATTATTACAATCAGCTAGTCAGGTCTCCTCACATTTATGGTGTGTCACTTTCCAGACACATACTCACTGAAAGACTTCATTATTATTCACACCCTTAAATCAAAGTGGAAATGCAACTATAGTGATTTTTTTAAACACAATCCAGGAAGTCCAGTTATACAAGTGACAAACAACACTTGAATATGGAATTAAACTCTAGCACTTCCATCAAGAGCAGTTTCAACTCAGTGCTTGCAAGAAGCTTTCAGATGCAAGTTATTCAATTTCAATGATAACTGTAGGAATCAAGGTATAATTTCTTAAAAAATGATCACTTATCAGAGAAGAGAAATAAAGTAACATTACCTGAGAGCTCTTACAATTCAGGTAAAAATGAAACTGAAAGCCAGGTTTTTAGGGCAATCCTTGGTGTGAGCTACACAAGCATATTATAAAATATATAGTTCATCAGTTGCAGACCAGGGCTCAAGGGTCACACATAAAAAGTAAATAATTACATAATTCTCAGCCACTCACAGTACATCTACAGAACAATTTAAATTTCATTGCTGAAAACAATTAAGCATCTGATCCAAGAATTTTCTCATGTCCAGTACCAGTAAATCAAAAAATTACTATAAAAAGTTATGCTTTTCTTATTTAAAAAGGCCTTGGAAAAACAAAGACTGAAATACTTTAAAGATTTTTAAATAGTAGGAAAGCATTTTGTCTTAATACTTTTGTTTAGTATCATCCATACAGAAGCTGCCATTCATCTTCAGTTATTTGATTCACAAATCAAACAAAGCAGATGTGAATTAAGAACCATTTCTGTAAAATAATTCATCACCTTAATTCAGAGGTAGCCGTATTAACCTACTTCTGGACTCCAATATTGCTATCGTCAATCCACTGAAGATGATGATACTGGCTAAAGAAGTTATAAAGTGGACATTTGTCACATTATTAATATTTGATAGTCCCTATCTTGATTTTAGATTGTTTCTCTCAATCTGACGAGCAGCATCTTCTCCGGGAATTCCCTTTGTTTTCAAACACCATAAGGCAACTTTGGCAAAGCAACTTGCAAAATCAGGATGCCAATACCAACCTCGCTCAGAGCTTTTCCTGGCAAGAGACACCACCTTAGCTATAAATCTCACAGAGTAACTGCAGGAATGCTGGTAGCAGGCAAATTCACTGTATCATTTTATTGTAATGGGAAATAAAGACACTGCTGTCATTTCCTTCAATCTTTCCTGTGTGTACATCCTTATAAAACTAAGTACACAGACTGTGCTGAGCACGACTCTTGCACAGACTTGCCACAGAATTTCTTCCCACTGCAGAACCAGTTTTGAAGTTGAGCTCAAGCCATTTGTACTAGGATTCTAAAATTACTATTTTCTGGGCAACTTGGTACCAAAATATTTCAACATAATATTTTAACAGTTAACAGTGTTTACTAAGTATTTGTATGCTATGTATTTAATCATAATTTTAGCGATCTCACCAATCCCTGGTTTTTGTGTTCGTACAAAGACGTATCTTCTGGTTTGGGTTAAGGTCACATTGTAAATGCCATAATGTTTTAGAATAACATATTTTACAACTTTCAAATTCTTAAAAGAGCATACACACACACTAGTTAATATCTGCAGAATCTGTCATCTTACCAAGAACTGATGGATGCATGGCAAAAGCACTAAATCTGCCACGGTAAAATAAAGCCCTTCTGCAAAGATGTGGTCCAAGAGTGGAAGGTCAGAGGTTTTTGTTCTCCTGATGTGGGAGGCCTCTCTGTTGACTGCATCTGATGCTTCCTGGACAAGTAGCTTGGAGAAAGCTACACTCAGTTCCAAACTTGGGGGTGGATGCTCATGCACTTCCCCTGCTTTCAACTCCTTTGTTGCTTCTTCACCAGAGTACGGGCACTGCAGCCTTGGCACCTGCCTTCTGCTGTTGAAGTTTCTGCCTACGAATTTTGTCGTCGTTATGCACTCGGACAGGTTCTCCAAGCTTCCTTTCAAACTGTAAAATGTCAGGAGGAATAGCCTGACAATGCTCAGGAGATGCTGTCAGAAACCTTTCCACAGCCAGAGGAATGCTGATCTCACAAAGTCTGGTCCACTGGCTAACCTGTCAAATAAAGTTATGGAATTAATATCTCTACAGAAAGAGAAACAAAACCCAGGATACATTTTGGTTCACTTTAAGCAAAGAAATTCCACCTTTCTTTCTTAATCTTAGAAACTCAGATATTCTCTATCACTTTTACTACAGCAGAATTAGGAAGCTAAACCTTATATATAAGAGAATGAACAGTTATCCAGTATAGCATATTTTTATTCCTTATTATTGACATAGTATTAGGGTGGTTGCATAACTCACGACAAGCAAAGCTGTGATCAATTTCTGTATATTGTCTCTACCAAATGGTGGTGATAAGACCCGATTACACCAAACAGATTTTGAGCACATTTATTTTCAGAAATGCATTACATTATTAGTGGGCTTTTAACATGCAACATCAAAAAAACTTTTGCCTAACTGACCAGTACTTAAAAAAAAAGTCACTTATTTTTTTCACGCTCTTATCCTTGTTCTCTTTCTCTCATTACCTGTACTTGAAGGTTTTACAATTTTTAAACTCCTGTCTTTTCTTATTCAGTTCACTCACTTGGAAGGCCTCTGAAATATAGAATGAAGCTCTCCAGCAGTTCCAAGAGATTACAGAGGTTTCTGGAGGATGTCAGGGACAACTTCTTTACACCAGCACCATGTGCACTAATAGAGAGATGTGCTCCTCCAGATTGGCTACACACCAACAGGGATGAATAGGGTTGGAAGCACAGTAATCAGCGGCAACCATGGGTGTAGCAATCCTGACAGGATGGAGCTCAACTTCCTGAGAGGAGCGAGGAAGGTAAGTCTAGACAATGAGCTGTCAGAGGAGTAAACTGCTATGTGATAAATAGACTGAAATCTCAACTCAAAGGGTAGTGTTGGTTAGCGAGGATAAGCTAAACATAAGCCAGCAGTGCACCCTGGCAGTGAAGGCTAACAGTGTTATGGTGCTCTTGAAATCAAAATTTAGAATGAATTAGATATTTCTTAGTTTACTTCAAACTTTAGAACTCATTTATACTGTTATTCATGAAACAGAGATCTGATATTTTTTTTAATTTTAAGGGGTTTTTTGTGCTGCTAAGTAGTATCTTCAAAAATAATTATTTTTCATCTGTATACCAAAGTACAGGTACTTCTCCATTGAGAAAATTTCATTTTCTAAGCAAATTAAATTTCTCACTAAAAGAACTTAGTTTACATCAATATTAAGAGTCTACTTCAGAGCATTTAATGCTAATAAAAAAAATCTTATTGTATTTAAGAGAAAGAAAGGCACTCACTTCAGCACAGGCTTTTAAGCAAGTCTTCTTAAAGCCTAAGAGTTCCAAAACATCCTTTTTAGATGGATCTGCCTCATATGTTTTTTGTATTATATGTCTTAAGACAACAGAAAGCCCAGCTCGGCAGAATTTGCCATCTTTCACGACAACTGCAGGTAAACTGCAGCTCTGCACAACCTCTGGAAGCTGACACCTGGAGATTAAATGGACCTCGAGATCGCCAGGGAGGTTTTTTGTCACACACTGATCACCCACATCTTCGCCAGTCGGCACTAAGAAAATTTTAAATAATTTGCAGTCACAGTAGGATAGCAAAAACAGGGAGATAGATGTATGAAGAGGAAAGATACTGTCTCTGTACTGATGAGAAAAAGCCAAATATAAATGTTCTTCAGTGATGCAATCTTTCATCTTCCTCCTGAGTTGAAGTTCCTGAAATAGAAACCAGAGCACGACATTCATAAAAGAAAACAGAATTTAGAACAAAAAAAGTTTTAAAACACTGGTTCTTCCATTATCTGCTACAACTGATTTTAACATAAGACACTACTACAGACATCCTGCCTGTGTGTTTGGACTGTAGGCCCTTTTTGAGAGAAAAGAACAGTTTCATGTATACATTGTCTCTTCATATACAGATCATGGATAGGACAATGACTTGTGTACTTTTTCTTTTTCCTTTTTAGCATATTTCTGACATCAAACAAAACAAACAAAACCAAAAGAAAATGTTTTCTTTTCAATTTTTAAGTGCATAAACATTTTAAAGTAGGTTTTTTGGTTTTTTTAACTGAAAATCTCCCACAACATTAACCATGTATTATTGAAAAAGCAAGTTCCTGAGCACGTGTCTACAACAGTCAGTTCTGTAATACACACTTGTCTTCCTGTAACTGCTAAAAGGCACTTATGGAGGATATTTAGGCCATGGGAAATAATATTGGTTTCTGTATGAAAAATTATTCTAGAGCCTGGGGAGATGATAACTGAAGGACACATAGGAAAATAAACATTCCTTTCACAAATACTACATGAGCACCTCAAACACCCAACTACTTTAAGCAGTTGAATATAACGGTAGCATCACTGAAATTAATATCCTCTCAATATATTAAAAGCTAAAATTAATTTTCCTCATAGTGGTGGGGAAAAAATACATTTTTCCTATTACAGTATTCCATAATAGTTTAACATAAAGCACTGATGCAATAATTTTTATGCTCCATCCTCGGTGGAATTGCCCATTAACCTACAAACCACAGCTCACACTGAAAAGCCTTGGACACTAGATGGGGCTCTTACAGCAAGCGTTACAGACGACAGCTCTAGTGCAGTAAGAGAAAGAAATGTAAATGTTGCTAAGGAAGGCCAGAATGTTTTCTATATACAAATGTATAAAGCACCAGTGACACTGGAACAACACGAGTCTTTCAAATAGCTGTCTGGATTAACAAGGTCTTTGTGCAGTTACATGAATATGATGCAATTATTTAAAAAGCAAAAAAAGGTTTTCATTTGATATATCCTGATTGTTTGATTATTTTTTCTTCATGTAGACACGTACATCAAATTTACTACTTCATATTATCTATCACGGGGCCAAACCAACTGCCTAAAAGGCGGCAGTGGAAGAATAAAACCACATCCACCTGACACTAAGATCATACTAATGACTGTTATAGCAAAGTATTTTTAAACCGTTACATGACATGCTATTGTCTCAGAACAGTGGTTCTACTATTGCTGTAGTACTGTTGCTTTCCTTTAATTAATACACCTGCCACACAGAGAACAGGACAATACATAATGAAATACCTACTTTCCCAGAAGCTATTTTAGTTGGATAAATCTTGACAGCATGTAAGTCAAGACAGACTCAATATCGTAAGTACAGCTCTGTGGCAGAAATCACATAGTGAAGGCACTGCTAAGGAGGCAAGTGAAGAAGAGTTAGTCTTACCTGTTAAACCCATAGTGACCAGCACCTAAACTCCTATTCTCAACTACAGTACTACTTTCAGTATTAAACAGTACCCTCCTATGTATTTCGGTTATTATTTTTATTTTCCAAGGGAACTCAAGGAGCACACAAGCCCATCTTTTCCTGGCCACTCTGACATACACATATATCTTACCAATCACTTCACTGATTAATTTTTTTTTCTTGTTGTTGACCTTACTGGACACAACCAGTTCTTTTGGTCATTATCATGCTATACAGAACTGATAAATACTTCGGTAAATTCTGATGAGGTTTCTATTTCCAAGGTATAATATTCTATGGTTTCCAGCTGTTAATAACCTGTTGTTACAAATTATTCCACATCCATCATTCATCCAAGTAAAACATTAATCTTTTTACCACAGAGGTACTCTCAACAGGTACACTGACCCTTGCCCACTTTCATCCAGAGTAGCAGCTCTGAAGCACTGCAGTTTCACCACAAAGGGTTATGTGTCATTAGACTAAAAGTAAAACAGAAGTGTTTAAAAGATGTCCAAGTAGAGGTACTACTAACCAGACTACTGCTTGAAAACTGGTAAACGAGAGGGCCATTTTCTTGTTGACCTCAATGTGAATTCTCCTCCAACCTGTTGAACAAAATTACTTCTACCCAGTAGCAATGAGTAACAGACAGCAGCTGGCAGACAGTCCCAGGGACAGTAACTTACTGGAAATAATGAGTTGTTGGTCATTGGCCTGCTTTGTATTCAACCCAGTAAACACAGCTGATGCTATCCTATTAATCCACCTGTATTGTTTCAGTTTAAAATACTTCTGGTCAAATTAAACCACTCTCATCCTCAGGTGTACAACTACCAAAAGTCATGCAAACCATGTAAACCAATATTAGGATCTTGCTGAAGCAGGGATGTAGTCCAGAACCACCCACTCCATTCTTTTTACAGGGTTAGAAAACGGGAATATGAATGCAGGCTTGTACAGGCAATCAGATTTCTCTCAGCTAAAGGCCCTGATCCTGCAAGTTCTCATGGTGCCTGACACAGTATCTTTGCAATATACTGTTCCACTATTTTAAAATATAGTCCTAAATTCTTCTCATACACTACACTATTATATTTTTAATTCCCAAAGCCCCAAAGAACAGGAAATAGCAACTACAGGGATGTTTATCATTACATACTTTTCAGACTAGGAGAACAAACTTTAAAAGGTAAGGAGAGCAAGCTTTGGAAAACCCCACTCTGCTGAGCTTTTCAACATCAATCTAATACTTTTCAACATCAAGCTAATACTTTAATTACTTAATGCTTTCATTTCCACAAGAACTTTAAAGAGTAATTTTAACAAAATTGGCTTCTGTCATGACCTCCTTACGTATTTCATTAGAATAGCAAAGCATTCAGTCTGTACTTATTTGTATTGCTGGTTATTGTAAAAGCTTCTATGTCCCTTCATCACAACAGTAACTGCACATCTCCCAAAAAGCCTTGCAAGGTGCAAGTTTCCTGTGTTACCATTATACATGTGACAAAACAGAAGCACAAAGAGAATTTTTAGTTCACTGTCATACAGGAAGTCTGTCCTAGAGAAAGTCTAAAAAACAGAACATTTTTCTTAAAGGATTTGTTGTTTGGTTGGTTGTGAGATTTTGGGATTTTTTTAAGGCCAGCCTAGGACAATGAAAATTACAATCAGGCTAATTTTGTTCTCAAGTCTCTCACAGAAGAGAAACTAAATTAATCTGTCCAGGATTTCTGTCTATAAGTGACTTTACCCGTGTTTCCACATTATTTCTTGTGAGAAGGCCACCTTGAATTGTCACCTCAAACAAACTGTACACCCTTACACTGCCATATCCTACCCCCCCACATCTTTTACTTCAGAGAATTCCTCCTAACATCTCGTCTCTAAGCACTGACATGCACAAAGTTGTTTGCCATACTTTTTGTTCCCACAAGACAGGTGTTTTTCCACACCGTTTTGGCCCTGTAGAGTCTACCTTCCTTGTGAATGTTATGCACAGCCTTTCGTCTCAATAGCCTGCCTGGCTGCCTGTTCTCACTTAAGTGTTTTCACAGAACTGCTACCCTTCCATTAAACGTGATACGTTGATTAATCCCTTGGCATCTTACTAAGACAAAAGCACACACAGGTATACACAATAAAACAAAACATGCAACACAGAGCTGACAAAAACCTAACACAACATTGCGCTATTTGCTCACAGCATTTTTCCCAGCACTTTTTTCTCCAATCAGACTATAAATTCTGTGGGAAGAGGTGGCTTTTTATTCTACTGGCCTTATTTACATGGCCACTATTTAAAAAAGGGGAAATGAGAAGCAATGACCAATACAGGATTTGCACCATAATGTAAAGACAAGATAAATGTTGTCTACCTTTGGTATAAAAGTCACCGTGGCTATTTAAAACAATAAACATTATGTAAGTATAATGTTGACTAACTACTGGGTTTTACCGCTTTCTCTTCCCTTTCAACATGCACTAAACGACAGATTAATTAGTTTCACTCAGCTGCCGTGTTAACAATGTAATAAAATCACTGCAAGAGTTTCCCTGAAAATGAAAACCTAAAAAACTCAAAATTAATAAATAAGTACATAAGCATCCTCTTCCTTTCAGTTTGAATGAAATTCATTCCTTTCAGAATGAAAGACATCATTCATGTGATGATTACTACAGGGTAACGCAGAACTTTTGCTACAACAGATGCATTAAGGCTTCAGAAACGCTCAATATAACGTTATTTAAAAACGCAGCCAATATTTAACTTAGTGCAAAGCAATATCTGTGTGCCTTAAGGCACATGACTTCGGAGGATGGAGATACATTTCTATCCAGGCGACCCATTCGCTGTATGAGTCCAGGGCCACCACTGCACCCTCGAGGGAGCCCAGAAGCTTTTCATGAAGAGCTTCGGACAGGTCTACGAATAAAGTGGAAGCTGCGGACGGTTCAAGAAGACAGAAGAAGACCAGGAGCAGAACTGAGGGAGGCAGCGCGCTGGAACTCGGCTGTGGCAGAGAACAACACCGCCGGGAGAGAACTCCCTCACACACCCGCGCCGCTGAACCTCCGCTCCCAGCTCCCCTCAGCGCTCGGCCTCCCCGCCAAAACCGGGCCCGGCGATCCCACTCCGATCCCTTCCCCCCTCGTTTCGGTCTGTTTTTCCTTACCCGGCCCGGCCGCGCCCGCCCCGGCTCCGCCTTTTCCTGCCCCGGCCCCGCGCACCGCACGGAACTGCCGCCCGCCGGCCTCGGGGCGCGGGGGGACCGGTGCGGTGGCGGACCCGCCTGGGAGCCTTCTTCCTCCTCCTCCTCCTCCTCCTCCTCTTCCTCATCCTCCTCCTCCTCCTCGCCTCTGGTGAGACCCCAGCGGGCGGCCCTGCGGGTATCGGGAAGAGGGGGCCTGGGAGAAGAGGGGGTTTGGGGGGAGGAAAGGGTGGCTTGGGGGGAGGAAAGGGTGGCTTGGGCGGAGGACGAGTCTGGAGAGAAGGTGTTTGGGGGGCTGGAAGAAGGGGTTTGGGGGGAGGAAGAGGGGTTTGAGGGGAGGAAGAGGGGTTTGAGGGGAGGAAGAGGGGTTTGAGGGGAGGAAGAGGGGTTTGGGAGGAGGAAGAGGGGTTTGGGGGAGGGAAGAGGGGTTTGGGGGAGGAAGAGGGGTTTGGGGGAGGAAGAGGGGCTTGGGAGGTGTTTGGGAAGAGGGGGTCTGGGGAGAGGAGGAAAAGGGGGGTTGGGGAGCGGGAGGAAGAAGGGTTCGGGAGGAGGAAGAGTGGAGCCAGCCCCACACCTGGCAGCTCTTACCCTCGGCCCCGGGGTGAGCTCCGGGTCTCCTGTGGGGCCGGGAGGGGCGGCCTGGAGCCGCCGCCCTGAGCAACTCGGTGCAGGGCGGTAACAGGGGCAGGGGAGTGATTTTTTTTTATTATTATTATTATCCTAAGCGTTTTAAAGTGTTGCTTTCAGGGGAGAGGCCTTTTGTTCGTTCCTAAGGGGAAATCTCAGGGAGAGATTTCGCAGCAAGTAGGTTGCAGAGGGTGGTGGTGTGGCTTTGGTGTAACTATTTTGGAAATCCAGTTCAAAACTAAGGTTTTAAAATTAAACTAAGGTTTAATTTTGTCACCAAGAAGTCTCTAGGAGGATGATATCCAGGAATTTATAAGTTTGATAAGTTCCATTATACATTGAATTAAGGAAAAGTGAAAACAGCAGTGGAGGTAAACTCAATTTGCCAGTGACTTAAACCAATGAGCAGTGACAAGTATTGAAACACCATCTGCAGCTCCATCTTCACAGAGCTGCTTTTTGTCGTCTTTTTAAGGCCGTGAGGTTGGGTGAGATCCCAAAGACTGGAGAAAAGGCAAATTTTATGCTCATCTTCAAAAAGGGCAAGAGGGACTACAGGCCGTGCTCCTTCCATCTGGAAAGACCGTGGAGGAGGCCATTTGTAGGCATAAGGAGGAGCAGGTGGAGACTAGGGATAGCCATCTCGAGATCTACCAAGGATAAGTCATGCCTGACTACCTGGCTCGTCCTCTGTGGCAACATAGCTAGATCTGAAGGTGGAGGGAGTGCTGGATGCCATCTAACAGCGGCTTAAGGGGACCTAATGGAAGCCTTTATAGACCCAAGGAGATTTTCGAAAAGATAGAGCCAGTCTTTGTAGTCAGATGCTTTGAGGGGGAACGAGAGACAGCACAAGTTAGAACTTCCAATTCCAAGCAAGGAAATGGGGGCAGCGAGGCACTGGGACAGGTTGCCCATAAGGTTTTTCACGTTCCTGCATTTGGAGGTTTTCAGGATCCAACTGGAAAAGTCCTGGGCAAACTGGTCTGAATTCAGTGCTTACTTCACTTTGAACAGGAGGTTGCACAGGGTGACCACATGACATCCCTTCCAAACTAAATGATTATGTGATTCTTAAATAATTCACTGTTCCTGAGGAGAAAACAGCAAATAGTGTAATCTTAGACGTTTTGGCTAAATGGATTACAATGATATTGATTGAAATATTAATTTAAGAGTACATTATGAAACATGGTGTAGAATAGAATGTAAAATTAAGGATACCAGTACTAGTGACTCCATAGCAGGAAATTTTACTCTAGTCTTAGAAGATTCTTTGGAGAAGATGACAGATAAATGAGAACTGATTCATGCAATTGTTCTGATTAATACAGTTTTCCAGACTACTGAAGTGTGTGAGTTTTGAAATGTCCCTCGTGGAAGGTAACTGAGAAATTATGCTGTCGTGAATCAAGTCCTGATTGAGACACAAAAGCAAAAACTGAAAGTAGAAGTTTGCTTTTTCCTGCTTTTAAGATTTTCCTTGATCTACTTTCTTAAGACTTACATTACATCTGAAAGTGATCTGGAAAAGGCATTATTGGTAACTAAGCAAAATCTGCCACTGTCACTGATTAGTCAGGAAGAGAGTAAGTTCTGAGGAACAGAAAAATCTAAAGGAGAGGGAAAAAGTGAATTGATATTATCATGATAAATTAATTATTGATAAACAGTGTACTGAGTGTGTCGGCAGGAATTATGTGCTGTTGTTTCATGTGACTGGGTTTTAAGTTAACTGCTACACATGTTGAAGGTAGCTGAAAAGGATATGTGAGTGAAAGTCCTTTTACTTATCAGTGTCAGTGAAACATAGAAATATTTTTGAGTTTATAAAAGAATGGGTTTGATAATAGCATTGCAGTATAAATTGAATATGTGTGCTTTCATGGAAAAATATCTTCAGTAGTACACCTGACTCAGAAAACAATAGAAACAGGAGTTCAGAAACAGATGGATAAAAATACAACCATATCTGAAAATGTAGTGGAAGTAGATCCCTTTAACTGCAAGTTATAATGAATAAGATAATACATGTGTAGGCATGCAACATAGTAGATGGCAAATAAATAAAATAAAAAAAAGAGGCCTCTTTTGTTCTCCAGATCCTAGAAATCTAATAAGTCTATTAAATTGGAGGACCATGTATTCTGTATAGTGCTCCATTCAACTTGTGTGTATTTGGCAGAAGAAAAAAGTATGCTCAAGAAATGAGAGAATCCAAAAATTCTTGGATGTTTAAAAAATAACAACCTACTAATTAGCATTGTTTTTCCCCACGGGGATTTAAATCACTGCAGGTATGGGAGGTTACTCCGTGATTGTTCATTGTAGGATTTTTAATATTATCTCTGATACTTCAGGGAGTTTTGTTGCCTTATATTTGGTCTTGTGTATCCATCATCAAACAGTTCTTACGTAATAGTGAAGAAGTACCAAACAGAGACCTAAGTTGAGAAAAGTGTTTTTAGGGCTAGGCTGATGGCTGAATGCTGAGTTGCAAGAAGGGTGCACTTGCTTTGAGCAAATCCAGTTCTACTCTGGGTTTTTTTTAGCACAGTCATCTTAATTTCACAGCTGTGTTATCAAACTGCAATGGAAAAGACGGTGTCATGCTCACCTTTTTTCCTAAACACTTTTGAATCATTTCTTCTACGACGATTCCCCTTCAAGAAGAAAGTCAAGGTCTGTCTTGCAGAGCAGCCTGTGGCGTCATTGTTAGAACACTCTGCTGTTCTTGTCTCAAGGCTGTCACATTGCTGTATGCTGCTTCCACTGCCAGAGGAGCAGTTTATGAATGAAAATATGAATGAATGTATTTGGATCTTAGGTTTGTAAGTGTCAAACCACTGTTTTATACTTGAAAACTGTTTGATCTGTAAACATCTGGAAAGGGCTACTACCAGAAGCAATAATTTGCCTTTTGGACCAGGTCAGTTACTATTTGGCAGTTGTGTTGTTATGGTTCAGTAAGGAGAGCTTAATTATCAATTTACTTTTTTCAGGTGATGCTGTTTTTAAGACAGCTATTGATGTGTTCATCTTTCCATTGAATAGACTTCCTTTCTCTAAATGACAAATAGATTTTTTTTTTTTTAATTTGAAAATACATGCCTAAGCTGAGCATACTGGAACTGTTTAAGAAGCCCAGTTCCCTCACTTCTCTTGAGAAATGTGTTGTGATGTTAGCTCTAACTGAAGTAGCCTACGACATTATAATTTACCCTCGAGAACAGAGAAGGAATTTCTGCAGTTTCATATAAATATCGAGAACCCTTTTGAAATTTGGGGTTTAACATGTGTCTTTCACATGTGGGTTCAATATGTGTCTTTAAAAAGCTAGATCTAGAAAGAAATCTTCAGCTAGATGAAAATGGAATTAGTACGTTTACACTCATTCTGTCAATATTACAGGCATCCTGAATGGCTGCTAAGGGCTGTTTGGCTGCCTGTTCTTCCTGTACACGAGTGTGTATTCCTAGTAAAAGCCTCAGAGAAGGACTGAAAATATTCTTTTTTTTTTTTTTTAGCAGGGAATTATACAAAATTTTTGAAATGAGTGTTTTGATTCTACTTTCATTCAACAGAGGGTTTAGCAGAGTCCTAGTTTAAGAGTATGTGGTACTGACTCTTGTAAAAGGCATATTCGCAGAACAAAGTGGAGGAGATAACCTGCCCACAGATCTCAAGAGCAGCCTGAGCATGTGTCAGAGGTAGATGCATTAAAAAAAGGGTATCTGCTTTCCATGCACTGTGAATTCACTTTTTGTAATCATCAGAGAGAGACTGAATTGTCTGGATGGGGCTTGCACGGCAGTCTGTGCTTGATCAGTGGAAAAGCAGAGTAACTGGTGTGTAGTACTTACTAGCAGAAGTTCTGTGGCCACCAGAAAATGATTTGTCAAGTAGCAAAGATTATGGAAGAGAGAAGAGGCTCTTGAAGAGGATTCTTAACTCTCTGCTGGGTCCATTGATAAAATCCCTGTGAAGTCTACTGTATGTTGAACTCCTTGATGATCTCAGTCAAGTGATTCTCTGGTGTCTCGTGAAAGCTCAGCGTGAGATAAAGGTTCCTAGGGACTTCTAGGCAAGTGTTAAGGGAGCAGGCTGCCACTGCTGGTGTTTTGGCCAGAGAGGTAAAAGTTCACTGCCATGAATATCAAAAGGAATTAATCAGGCAAAACCTTGGAAGCTCCAGCTGAAAAAGCTGCCCAGTGCTTTTGAGCAGAACTGATGAAAGGCTTTTCAAGAACATCTTATAGATTATTGGATTAAAAACAAACAAAACAAAAAGACAAAAACCAACCAAACAATAACATAAAGCATCCTGATGTGTTCCCATAACTTCCCATGCTATTTCTTAAATTATTAATTGGTAATTATTGATTAAGTTAGATCTTTGTAAGTACAATTTCCAATATAAATGCAGTTCCTTAGAGCTTTTGTTAAAGAAACAAACAGAGAAGGTTCCAGAGTGCCAGAATGTATTGCTCTGAAGCAAACATAATTTTTTTTAATTAGTTCTAACCTTTTTCTCACTTTGTTCCATTTACATTGTCACAGTAGCATATTGAAGCTCTTCATAGTCATTACTGTGACATTAAAACTCAGACTGTCACATGGGGGCGTGGATAAGTCACCGTCTAAGTTATAAATTTTCTCACTGTTGCAGCTAAATTTAAAAATGGATAGTGTGCTTTTTCAGATATTTTATTTGTATAAAATAAAATACTAGCTGTTCATATCTCTTACATTATATGCTACAATGAGCTGGGTTTTTGTCAGAAGTTTCAAAAGTTATTTTTTCTGCAAGTAAGATTTTTTAGTTACTCTTCAATGGACCATGAGTTGGAAATAACTGTATGTGCAAATAATGTTAAGGAGAAGGGCAGTAATTGCTTTTCTTGAAGTTAACATTTATTTTACATACTTTTCAATATTCTTTATATATGAAATATCAAGAGTGTGAAATATTTGTTTCATTTACCTAAGTGTAATGAGTTTAGTTTCTGAGTATCAGATATGCCAAAGAATTAATTTGACTTAATTTCAGATGTAAAGTCAAATTCAAGTTTTGCAGCTCTGGAGTTCACAATCAGTCATCTTCTAGTGATAATTAATTCCCATATCATCCTTCCTGTGATTTAATGTCATTCCATTTTGCAAAGAAAATAGATCTTCTGTTAGCCACATGCTGTTTGAGGTAAGCTCCATACGAATAAATTTGTAATTGATTTTCTTTTTTCTTGTTTCTTTGTTTGTTTCTGTTTGTTTTGTTTAAACTTCCTCTGAAGATACCACTATGGCTGCTACAGTGAACTTGGAGCTTGATCCCATTTTTCTGAAAGCCCTGGGCTTCTTGCATTCAAAGAGTAAGGACTCTGCAGAAAAGCTGAAAGCGCTTCTTGATGAGTCTTTGGCCAGAGGAACTGAGTCAAGCTATCGTCCATCTCAGAAGGTATTGGTGTTAGAGAGCATGGGTCATTTTTGTATGCCTTTACAGAGCTCCTTCTATTCCTAGTTCCTCTTTTATAGCTGGAAAGTTAAAAGAGAATCAGAAGTTGAGGAGAAAGTAATTATGGAATGTTCGTATTCATCATTCCCCTTTTATGCAACATAATCTATTCAGTTAACAGAAGTTAATGGGGAAAAAATCTCTACCATGTTGATGTACCAAGACCTTTAAAAGAGATAATTCAACATTATATCAGACATGCTATGTAAGGTGAACCCAAACTTATTTCTGCAGTCATGTTTCAGAGCTAAAAGGTCTTTAAAATGCAGATTACTTTTGCCACAGATAAATACAAAACAGAACAACCTGTTTATTGATAAAGCTGGGTCCCTTTCCATGAAATTCTGTTGATGAAGTCATATGAGAATGAAAAACACAAAATGGTTCAAAGCAGAAATGCTTTGCAGGCTGGAACCATTGCCGTCCAATGGACAAACATTATTTTTCATCTACTGAAAATCACTGAACACCTGCTAGAGGGACTATTTGAATCCAAGATTAGTGTATGGAAATAAACAAGTGGGGACATCCTCATACTGCTGCATATTGCCATATGGATAATGAGGTAGTGCTCTCCCCTAGGATGCCTGGAAGTCAGCCTGGTATGTTATAATGATGGTCTGTATGCTGATGCCTCAGTAATATTTCATTTCTACATCTACGTGGTTCCAGACAACTAAAAGGTACTATTACTGCTCAGCATATATCATGCTTGTACTGTGTGGTCTAACTCCTTTCTGTTCAACTCCCTGAAACCTAAACTGCAGTTCCCCCTAACACAGGTCTCAAAACTCTCGAGTGCCCTCAGAGCTGAAAGAAGCGATTTGTGGTTTAAAGAGGAAGCAGAGAGATCAATAATAGTGCAAAGAGGCTTGGGAAGCCAATTCTAATAACAGCTTGGCTGGCAGTCACCTGGCCTCAGGTGAAACTGAGGCTCAGGCCAGAGGAAGAAATCTTTTGTTTCTCCTCTTTTTAGTATGTCTCCAGTGTCAGCTAAACTGCAAAGCTCAGAAATGAAAAAAAGTGTAAAGGTTCCTTTCCTTGCATTCTCAAGCTACAGGATTAATTTGTGATTGACCATGAGATCCAAGAACAGAGCGGGGAGCACGGGGTTACCATGGTCAGGCAGATGAGGAAATCTGTTTCTGACCCTGGATGCAACAGGAAGTCGACAAACCTTGGATGGCTGAAGCTCAGGGCTTAAGGACCTGTCCCAGCACAGAGCAGAGAATTACTGCCTGCTTACCAGCTGAGAGGAGGTACCTGACTCCTGTGCACTGGTGTGATTAATCACTCATTTACAGACTCTCTTGGTTATTGTCCATTGCCAACACTAAGGCGTCATTAATGAGAACTATTGATTTCTGTTGAGATCTAAATTTATTCATCTGGTAGATGAATAAGGACTGAGATTCAGTAGAGGTCAATATTTTTCTCCATGAAGGAATGAGATATTGATGTCTGGTTACATCAGATGTCAGATTATGTTTTCAGCTTACATTTAATTATGTCCTCAGAATTATCTGAAAGTCTGTGTTCATTATCTCTTTGAATTTTAAAAGCAGAAATGTCTTCCTTTTTAATTAATGTTCCAAAGAGGATCTGTCTTTGGAAAAGGAGCACCTTTCCCTCTGGAAGGTGAGTGGTAAGGGGAGGTCTTACTAATTGTCTGCAACTTATGCACCCTAATTTACTGATGTGATATGAAGATATTTAAGAAATGTTTTTTGAAAAAGTGTGTGTGTAGATGATTGGTGTTGTATGATATGTCGTTTGCCTATCCTGGTATCTAACTAATTACAAACCAGGAAGTATCTCAAGTGTAGGGTTTGCCTTCAATTTTTGTTTCTGTTTTCAGGAAGCAGAGCAACCAAAAGTGTCTGTTACCAAACCTATTAAGCAAGAGCCTAAAGCTTCTTCTAGTTTGCCCTCCGGCAACAACAATGGCAAGCCCACTGCATCAGAAAAGGTGAAAAAAGAAACAGAAAAGAGATCTGATAAAGTAAGTGATTTTTGTTCTCTAATGAGATAACTTGGTATATAAACTCAAAGGTGTTTTAGACAGAAGGTTCTCTTTTCAGTCTCTGTAGCTCAGCTCATCTAGTGGTGTGTAACCTGTGAACTGCATTAGTCAGTCATGTCTTTAGGCACTCCAACAAAAGTCTTGTTATAATTATTCTGTGATTGTTTTCCCTTTTCACTGCGGGGGGAGTTGGATTTCATGACCTTTTAAAGGTCCCTTCCAACCCAAACCATTCTGTGATTCTGTGTTTTAAATCATCATGTTAATAACAAGTTACTAAAATGTAGCAACTTGAAATGTGGTTTCCCAAAGGTTTTTCAAGGATTCTGAGATGAAGTACAAAAAATGGGCTTGAGCTTCTAGTTTGTAAATATTTTGAAGAAAATATGTAATTAAAGAAATACATTGTGTGTGTCCTCTGTAAAGTACACCTTATACTTCTAATCTAATTGTACCAGTTATTTTCTCATTTTAATAATATCTACTAGCATCTTGAGTTTTCACATTTTGTATGTGTGTGTTTAATAGACAAAAGGGGATACTGCTGAAGGAGCTGATGCACCAAAGAAGCCCAAAGTAGAGAAGCAAGAGGCTCGTTCCTCTCCTATTACAGTTCAGACGAGCAAGGATTTATCCATGCCTGATTTATCTAGCTTTGAGGAAACCAGTGCTGATGACTTTGCTATGGAAATGGGATTAGCCTGTGTTGTGTGCAGGTAAGTTGGCATTGCTTCATTGCTAGGTAGTTACTTTTTTTTTATTGTGTACCATTGAGTTAGTGCTTCTTTTAGTTTTTATTCTGGAAATCACTTAAGCACATATCCAAAATTGATAATAGATTTAAGCATCCTTCATGAATAAGAATAGTTTCTTGAAGATAGAACCTTTAATGAGAAAAACAGCTTTTCTTCAGGAAAAGGCAAGTGAAAAATAAAGCTAGACATGATACAAAACCCATCATGACAGTTTTTAGTTATTGGAAAGCAAGTTAAAGTATTAATGGCTAATGATAAGCATTTTTAAAAAATCACTTCTCTTCTGAAAGCATTTGTAAGTGGCATTATTATGAGATGTATGTGTGTTGCTCCTCATTTCCTAATCATTTGACATTAATTTACACATAGCTGTGTTTTCTCAGTAAATATATCTTGCAGTGAAGACAGGTTCTTTTTACTTTCCAGTAAGGGCTCTAAAATTGGATTTTAGTAACATTGTGCTAGCAGTACATTTAGTGTTAACAGAAGCATAAAATACACTTTTGAATATCTACCCTAGGATCAAATCACTCAAACCAGGATCTGGTTTCACAGATGATTTATGTCCTTGTTAAGCCCCCACTGCTGCCAAAAGGAGCAGTTTGGCTCTCCCAGTTGTACGTCCTTCCCTGTACTGTTTAGGGGATGTATTGCACATGGAGTTTTGTGATCAGCTGAATCAGCTTCTGGATCAGCTTTCCACTCAGGTTTTTCAGTAGGTTTAGGTTTCAGTCAGCTCAGTGATAGTAAATGCTTATGTTGGCACATGTGTGGATACAAGAATGTAGAGCCAGGACAGAGAAGGGTTTGGAACTGGCCTTTTGGTAGCAAGTATGTATTTCAACTCAGCTTAAGTCACTTGTGAAACTGGGCTTTAGAACTTCGTTGTTCCATCATGTTCATGGTTGTTCCTGTTGTGTAGGTAAGGAGGCATCTGCAGTCCAGGGATGATAAATTTCTGTTGTTGCAGTTAATTATACTGGTAACCAGTTGTGGACTGATGAGATTTCATGTCACATTATTCCCATGTATTAACTCAAATGTTTGGTTTCTTAGTGTAGACATTGAAAAAGGAAGAAGTATGAAATAAATATTTCAAATTTACCTTTTTTTTCCTGCAAATTCCACTTTTGCTGTCCCCTAAGAGGGGCAAATCCCCATTTGGTGGTATGTTAAAATGCTGCTAAGAATATTGTGGTACTAACTTATTTGGCAGGAGGGGATAACAAAAAGGTTTTTTTAGACAGTCTTGAGCTGTCGTGGATTATTAATTCTCTCTCTTCCCTGGCAAAGGCATAATGAGAAATGCCTGCAAAGTAAAGAAACTAAAGAAAATGCAACTCCTGTGCCCAGCATGGCCAAGACTTTGCTTTGAAAAGCACAGGCCGGGTATGTGGTTCCATTAGCTGTTCCACAATCAACGTTTAACCTGGCTGCTGAAGGTGTTGATTCTACGTGCTCGTGGTCACCAACTCAGGTGTTCTTGTAAAATATTTTTCTGCCCTGACTAACTGAAATAGCTCTCATTAACTGATGCCAGAGGGAGGGAGAAGTACTGCAGGAAAAGAAACAACCTGTTAGAGAGGGGGTGGTGACAGTCACCCTGACACTCAGGATCGCTTTCATTTTGCACAGAACCTGCTGAGACTGATGTCACGTGGTTCTCAACCTCCAGCTCGTGCTGGGCTAGATGTTTTTCAGAGGATTTGTGCTTTGGAGTTCTGACTCCAGCACATTGGTCAGACAGTATTCCTCTATTTACTGCTCGCTTTCAGTCTGTGCACCGTTTTTGGGGTGGCCGTCTTGAGCCAAAATAATACCATCCCCATACATATGAAATATAAAAGCACTGGATAGTCTGCAAAATAACTCAAGTATGAATAATATTTTTAAATGACATCTTTTAATAACTCAATCAATTATTCAACCCGTTGTGAATGAACACATCATGTCCAGTTGCAGAGTAGGTGGAGTTCATAGGAAAAGATTTTATGTTTACATTGCTTAAGAAGACAAGTCGGCAAGAACCCAGCTGTGGGTTCTCAAATGCAAAAAAAGTGCATTCGAATATTAACTATTCCTCTTTATAGATGTAAAAACTGAAGCAGAGACATGAAATGTTTTTTCAAGGTTTGCCAAGTGTCAAATGTATTTTCATAGTGATTACAAGTATTGAACGTTGATGCCTGTGGTGTTTTCCTTCTTGTTCTGTTATGCCAATTTAGGCATAAGGAGAGAGGGAATATTAAAATAACTCCACCTTCTCCAGTGCCTGTAGGTCTTGCAAAAACAGGGCCCACCAGTTACGTGGCTCCTCAGTTATATGAAAAGGAAATACTACATGCAGTTTGCAGATGATTGTGAAGTTTTCCTCCCAGAAAAATCTTTAAAAAACACTGGGTTTGAAATAACAAAATTTCAAATTTTTTATTAATACCTTTTTGTTTGTTTTTTGATGGTAAAAAATTGTTAGGTTTGTTTCTTAGTTATCTTATAATTTAAAAGTGGTTTTTAACTTGTTTCTGATCATGAAGAGTTCATGGGTTTTTAATCAGTTTGGGATTGTTCTTGGTAATTTTAAAATAGGGTGAGTCTCCCACCTTGAGACATGAGGTTGAAAAATCACTGCTTTGTTCTGATCCAGTTTATTTAGGAATGAGAAACAAACAAAATGTCTTTTAAATATCCTTCATGTAGAATAATGGACCCTGGAATTTCCCTCTGTTTTTAAATTGCCTGTGTAAAAGAGAAATATTTCTTAGAAAATGTTGTAGTATCAGACTTCATTTTTCTGTTATATAAAGAAATAAGGGATTACCTTTCCCCACCCATCTACAAATAGAGTTTCCATGGTTACCTGGGTACCTGCTCCTCAGGGATATGAGCAAAAGCAGCTTAGCAATTAAATAGCTTGATTTGTCATCTGAAAGAAGAAATCATTAAGAAAATGGTATTTGGCTAATTCACAGGCAGACTCCCAGTCATGTATATATCACTAATTTGTCATTTACACAGCATGATTACTTTCAGCAGAGGCCCATGCAAAATGAAGTCCTCATCACCAGCTTGCATGTTTGCTTCAAGGCAGGACTGCACAATTAATCCTTCCTATTCCATCTTTCCATGGCTCTGGTATTATCTCGAGTTCCACGTGTCTGTTTCTGTAGTAGGGACCAAAAGGATGGCTAATAAAACATCTTCAAGGTAATGGAGAGCTTGGATGATGATGTTTTCAAATGCTGTAGCAGAAAGCTACAGAAAGCTACTCTTACCGGCTTGTTGTTGAGAAATTATTTGTTCTTGAACTGTATTGCTCTAAAGCTCACAGCAAAATTGTCCAAATGGAGACTAGGCCTTCATATGCTAATATAATGAGGAAATCATATTTGTCGTAGAGTGATGTACCCATAAAATGCCCACGTGAAGCAAAGCAGGCAAGACTTACACTTCTAATATAAAAACCAAACAGAGAAATCAAAACTGTCATATACACTTGTTTAATAGCGTGGAAGTTTTAGATATTCTTGAAAAAAATCACCCTTTAAAAATATCAGGTTTCTAAAATATTAGTTAGGAAGAGCTGATGCAGGAAGAAAAGGAATACGTTTCATTTGCCACAGGTAGAAAATATATGTGAAAGCAAAAATATTTTTAGTTTTTATCTTAAGCCTTGCAAAATTTTCAACAATTGGATAATCCTCTAAGTGCTTTCTTCCGTAATCTGTTCTTAACTATTTGCTCTGCAGGCAAATGACAGTTACTTTTGTGAATCAGCTAGTGGAGTGTCAGGAGTGCCATAATCTCTACCACCAGGATTGCCATAAACCTCAGGTGACAGACAAGGAAGTGAATGATCCTCGACTTGTATGGTATTGTGCCCGCTGTACCAGGCAGATGAAGAGAATGGTAGGAGTCAGTTTTTTGTCTCGTGTGAGCACTATTTGAATACAGCAGGCTGTTTCTACTACGTGAGAGTATTTTATGAGTTAGAGAAATCCTTGGAAGCGTGTTGGAGAACTGTTTTTCTCAGCGGTGCTTCCCTTGCTGCAGGTGTGGGTTTTTTTAACGTAGCATCTCAAAGAGCATTCTGTAATGTGCTTCTGGAAAAAAGTTTTTTAAAAACGAGAATTTGAGCGAAGAAGAGTGAAATAGGATTATTTCCTACTTGGCAGGCAGCAGTTGAAACTTTTTTTTTAATTTCATGTGATACTCAGTTTTTAGCACATGTCTACCAAATAGCCCTACAGTTTTAGTCGTCTTCTCAGCTTTGGACATTAATGGTTGCTTTCCTGTAGGATAAGACTGCAAATTTCAGTCCAGATCTCAAGCATTGAGTTTTCTCAGGCTCAAACCCAAGCTGAGGGTAGCATATCCCAGTTTAAAAAAAAATAAAAAAATCTATATTTTGATTGATCTGCATGTTAATTTCTTGATTAAACAGGATCTCCCTGGAATCCCACTTGTCTCATTATGAGAAACAAACATGAGAGTAAGACAGCACCTTTGGGTGCATGAAACATTAGTGACTTTAGTTCTGAAGTTTTAAAATCACACCCTTCTATACAGCAGAAAATGTGTTTTGAAACTGCTCTGTGATAACTTAGCAAGTTATCTGTTGAAATGACTACTAAGAAACAAGAAAAAAAGGCATTGTAAGATCCTGGCCTAGGAATTATCATCACTGACTGAAATACATGATTATTCTGATGATCATCAGGCCTTTGAACTCAGAGGAGTGTTTGCTGAAGGTCAGTTCCTGCGCAGGATAGCCATTGCAGACATTTAATGGTTGCCTTCAATATGACATTTCCTTTTTTCGTTTTGGCATGAATTCTGCCGTTTTGCCTGGCACTTTTTAGCAGGCTCTTGCAGCCCACGTCTCAGTACTGCTGGATTACGTCCCTTTCTACTGCAAGTTCACCTGCCTTTGCCTTATTCCTGTAAAGGCCCAGTGCTTTCCTGTTCTCTAAGTGTCAGTGCTGCAACTCTTTCCATGCTGAAATAGCAAGTTCTATTCAGGATGCTTTGTGGCTGGACCCTGTCTCCAATACCATAACCAGCACTATCTCCACATCCCCTATTACCTCATTTCTCATGGACCATTAAACTTGAAGTTGTAAAGACTAGATTGTAATCTTAAAATGCTCATGCTTTTTGTTAACAGTCAAAACAGTCAATGTTATAGGGTCCGTAACTAATTTGGCATGGTTTTTTCCTACCTCTTATACAGGCTCAGAAGACACAAAAGCCACCTCAAAAACCAGCTCCTGCAGTGGTTTCAGTTGCACCAGCTTTGAAGGATCCATTGGTCAAGAAGCCAGAAATTAAGTTAAAACCTGAGACCCCACCAGCTTTTCTAGCATTCAAGAGAACAGAAGTCAAGGTAAGTCAGTTTAAATTTACCAGAGGAAGAGTTTACGTTTCACTGCATAGATTATAATCTTTTCTCACAAGAATCATGAATGAAAACAGTCTGCTATACTATGTGGACTGAGCAGCACCATAGCATTAACACTGAAAAAATGGAGAAAAAACCCTCACTTCACCAGTAAGTCCCTGAAACATCCAGTTCTTGACTGTATTTTTATGTTACAAGGGAAAGAACAGAATTGACTCTATGGATTTTTTTAAAGATATTTTATATAAGCAGAAGTCTTTATAAATGTGCCCTGGCAGCCTAGAAGGCCAACCATATGCTGGGCTGCATCATTAGAAGCTGGCCCAGCAGCAGATTGAGAGAGGTGATTCTGCACCTCTGCTCCACTTTTGTGAGCCCCTGCCTGGAGTACTGTGTCCAGCTGTCTCAGCATGGGAAAGACGTGGACCTGTTAAAGCAGGTCCAGAGGAGGCTGCAAAGGAGCTGGGAAGGGCTGGAGCCTCTCCTGTGAAAACAGACTGAGAGATGTGGGGTTGTTCAGCATAGAGAAGAGAAGGCTCCAGGGAGCCTTCCAGTACCTAAAAGGGGCATACAGGAAAGCTGGAGGGGGACTTCTCACAAGGATGGGTTTACACTTTGAGTTGATGATCTTGAAGGTCTTTTCTGGCCTAGACAGCTCTATTAGTTTATAAGAGGGAAACTCTAGCTGACTCTGAGATCTAGTTTAGGAGACTACTGCTTCTTACATGTAATCTGATCTAGTGGGTAGTGTGGGCAGGGGCGTTGGAACTCAGTGACCTTCAGGGTCCCTTCCAACCCAGACCATTCTGTGATTCTATTCTATGATTCTATGTTGCTTTCTGTTTTTCCCCAGTTAAAATACTGTCACAAGTTGCTCAAAGGTGGTAAACCAGAGGCAGTATAATAAACAACATAGTAGTCTAATAAAGCATGACCCTTACCTAGGAAAACACAGCTTTAACTCAAAATCAAAGCAACCATTCACTCACCCAAAGTTATGTTTGCCATTACTCTGCCTGGATGCAAACCATCATGAATAATATGATGGGTATTGCTCAGGCTCTTATACTTATGAATACTTTTTTCACCTCAGCAGACTTATTTATTTGCCTAAATGGGTTATAAGACCTGAGGCCTGATTTCATCCATCATCTTTACTGTTTAGAAACTGTCTGGAAATACTATAAAAGGGATATTACTTGAATAGAGGGGTTTAGTTTTCATTTTGACTCTGCCATTTGCTATAATTCCGGTTTAATAATGCAACATATCATCCCCATATGAAACCTGGGGGTTGTAGGGTTTAAGCTGTGGGAACTCAGGTAATGTGTATAGCTCTTTGTAAGCAAGGGAACCCATGTGTGCAGAAGGTTTGTGTTTCACAGTACCTGAATGGGAAGAGACCTACAGGAAAGAAGTCCAGTGACTTCTTTTTCTTTTCTTTTTTTTTTTTTTTAATTCTCTCTGTGGTACAGGCTGCTAAGAACCAAGAGAGGGAAAGAAAACAATTTAGATACTGCTACTTTGACCAAAAGACTGTAAGAAATGCAATAATGAATTGCTCAATGTCTGATTTTTGTCCAAGCATCTGTCATCTTGTTAAAAAGTGACACCAGGAAAAAACAGTAAAAAAAAAAAAAAAAAAAGAAAAGAAAAGGAATGCAAGCCACCACCTTTTATACAGTTCCCAAATTTGGGCTTTTATCATTCAAGGAGGGTTCACAATGCTGTATGGTAGCCTGCTAACTATATAGAAGGAAGGGGAGAAAAGGTATTATTTGTTCCATGTGGCTGGGTGATTAAAAGTTGGCTGCACCTGGCATCCTTTCTTGTTCATGTTAGTACTTTCAACTGCAGTGACCAGGGATGAAACATTGACCATTGGGTGATCTTGTGAAAAGAACTGAAATAGAGGCTCAATGTATTCCTACTGTGATGTGCTGCACAAATAGATGCTACTATAATAAGAATGCTTATTTATTTTAGACCTCAGCAGCAGTTTCGGGGAACTCTGCCAGTACAAGTGTTTCCTCTTCAGCAACGAGTGGCCTTACAGGATGGGCTGCTTTTGCAGCCAAAACCTCCTCTGCCAATCCTTCAACTGCCAAACTGGGATCAACAGCACAGAGTGCCAGTGGGAAACCGGCAGCTTCTTCAAATAACCAGAAACCTGTGGGTTTGTCAGGGTTGGCGACTTCAAAACCAGGACTAGGGTCGAAAATAGCTTCTGCCAACAACAGCACAAACCCTGTTCAGCTGAAACCTCCTCCACCTCTGACACTGGGGAAAACCACCCTGAGCCGCTCGGTGAGCAGCGACAACGTCAGCAAAGTGGGTCTCCCGAGTCCCAGCAGTGCCGCCCGAGCACCAGCAGCCAGGGGAGCAGCGGGAATGGCAACAGCGGGAATTCGGGGAACAGCGGGGGCAGCACGAGTAAAACCGCTGCAGATACTGGTAATCAGTCAGCCTCCCTGAAGGGCCCAACTTCTCAGGAATCTCAGCTCAATGCTATGAAAAGGTTACAGATGGTCAAGAAAAAGGCTGCTCAGAAGAAACTCAAGAAGTAGTACGTCTGCTTGCTGATTTTGTTGGTTATGTTCTAGGAAACATTCTTGTGTTCATTGGCGTTTTTCTTAAAGAAAATCCCCCAGTTACTGGACTGAAATGGAAGTTAAATCAGGGAAGCCCAAAACCCATGTTATACAGGAGGTCAAACTTCGATAATTCTAGCATTCCTTCTGCCTTTGCACATCTGTGAATTGAGTATGTTGGAGGAATTCACTATTATATGCTCCTGTTTCCGTAGCTCAAAGCACTGAAACTTGAAATTGTAAAAGTTGGGTATTTTTAAATCTTAAAATACCCACGTTTATGGGGACACTTAATAAAATGAACTTTCTGAAACCATCATTCTTAAATGTTAATAATAAAAGGATTATTAATCTGGGAATTCATTGCCACTTTTTTTTCACCCCATATTCCAACACTTTAAATGCTTGAGGTGTTCAGAATTCTCTATATTGTGCAGAGCTAATTATCTCAAATTATCAGGTTCATCATGGAAAAAATGTATTTTCTTTTAAACATGTTCAAAAATTAACTGCTAGAAAATAGTATATTTAAATGGAGAATTTTGGTTTGGCAGTTTGGTTAATTGACCTATTTTGGTTTTATACAGTGAGAAACTTCATACAAAAAGAGTGTTTTCAAGGCAGTGTTTTCAAGCTTTCTTAAACTGTAAAGGGCCTTAATATTGTCCTGTTGAATAGGAATGGAAAATAAGTGGAAGCTAGTGTATATTTTAATTCAACAGAATTGTTCTATGATGTTGAGAGAGGGGAAAAAAATAGAAGAAAATGAAGGGAATTGTCTTGAGTGTTAGTAAGTTTGTTTCCTTTCTGGCACACCTGAAACACAGATGACTTTTTGATTACCGAAGTATTGCTGTAAAATTCATGAGCCTGGCATGTGCCAAAGAAGAATTGTCTACCAAGTGGTCTGGAAAATGAAGCCTCTGGTCTCTCCATTGTTCTGCCACAGCCTGTATGGTTGTTATCTACACTTACTGTGTTCTCAGACATGAAAGGCAACAGAGGGATGAGCTTTGTCTCTCTTCAGAGCATAAGTCCCCTCTACTTCCCTGCCCCAGCATGATCTTGCACTTAGCCCAGCTGCTGCTATGAAGGAGATTTGAGAGCTCTTGGGAGCTCAAGTGTGGCTCTTGGTAGCTTCCTATGGAGGCATTCATGGCTTTTTCTTGACTAGATCTAGATTTTACACCCACAAACATCCCTCCAGTTTTTTCCACATACCCTGCCAGTTTCTGTTACACTTCTTCAAATCTGTCCCAGCCCTGTGTGGGTTAATGCTTTAGCATCCCAACTAAAACAGGTAGTTGGGAAGTATCAGGTCTTCCATCTCTCCATTCCTACCCCTGAGCTCTTCTTCACAGTTTTTGGTCCCTGTCATTGTCCCAGCTGGTCCAGGTTGTGTTCAGCTCTGCTCTCTCTCAAATCTCCTTACAATTTTGTACATGAGATCTAACCCACATTTGTGTTTGCAGCTGTCCTCCTCAAGCATCTGTGAAGTGCAGAATCAATTGATAGAGGAGGTTCACAAGCTGAATTTTGTAAAAGAAAACAGCAGTGCAACGTTTATTGAGAGAAAATTGAGCTTGGAAAGAAAGAAACCTGTCCCTTCTCCTGTGAGTACCATACATCTGAATTGTGTATGAAGCGTCCTCTTTTGATCACTTTTGAAACAAATCCCTTTTTTTGCACTGGAAAATGATCTTGAAGTCTTGCTCTTTGTGACCAGAATTTGGCAATTTCTCTCTATTCCTTCTGTGATGAGGGGAGCGTCTCTAAACGTGAAAACATCTCTGACCATTGGATTTGCATAGCCAGGTTTTGGCAGTGAGTGGGCTATAGGGGTGGGTTCTAGGAGAAGCTGCCCAAAGCTTCCCCTGTAATCTGACAGAGCCAATGCCAGCTGACTCCAGGATGGACCTGCCACTAGCCAAGGCCGAGCTCATCAGCCTTGGGGATAATATATTAAGGGGAAAAAACCTGTGCAACAGCAATTGTAGCCAGAGAGAGAATATGTGAGAGCAACAACTCTACAGCCATCCAGGTCAGTGGAGAAGGAGGCAGAGGATGTGCTCTGGGAGTTGAGGTTCCCCTGCAGCCTGTGGTGCAGACCATGGTGAGGCAGGCTGACCCCTGCAGCCCATCAAGGTCCATGAGGGAGCAGAGGTCCACCTGTAGCCCATGGAGTACACCATGCTAGAGCAGGTGGATGCCCAGAAGAAAGCTGTGGCCCCGTGGTAATCCTGTGCTGGAGCAGACTCCTGGCAGGACTTGTGGCCCCATGGAAAGAGAAGCCCACACTGGAGCAAGTTTGCTGGCAAGACTGGTGACACTGTGGATATCCATGCTGGAGCAGTCTGTTCCTGAAGGACTGCACCCTGTGGAAGGGACCCATGCTTAGTTCATGAAGAACTGCAGCCTTTGGGAAGGACTTGTGCTAGAGAGGTTGGTGGAGGACTGTCTGTTGTGGGAGGGACCTCACAGTGGAGCCCAGGAAGCGTGTAAGGAGTCCTCCCCCTGAGGAGGAAGGGACAGCAGAGATGATGTGTGGTGACCACAACCCCCATTCCCTCTCTCCCTGCACTGCTGAGAGAGGAGATGGTGAATTCGTGAGTAAAGCCTGGAAATAAGGGAGAAGTGCTTTATTTTCTCCTTACCATACTCTGATGGGTAGTAAGTCATGTTAATCTTCCCACAGCTGAGTCTGTTTTGCCCATGATGGTACTTGGCAAGTGATCTCTCCCTGCCTTTAACTCGACCCACTAAGCTTCCATCTTATTTTCCAGCTCCCCTGCCCAGCTGTGGATGGGAGTGGCCAAGTGGCTTTGGTGGGCACCTAGCATCCATCCATGGTCAACCCACCACGCAGACTTTCACAGGCATCCATTTTTATCCATCCTGTATTTTAGGTATGTGTAAAGCTGATACATGCAGCTATTTCCCATGCCTCATTTCCCTTCTCCACAATTAAGATTTAGGCTAACGTTCCTTAAACATTCAAAAGAATAGTTTCATTTTCTCGGGATTGCCTCAGCTACCTGGGAAATTTGCATATTTTTTCAACTATTTTTTCCTTTTGGAGGAAAAAAAGAATAACTTTTTATCTTTGTAGTGCCTGTGGCTTCCAGGGCTATGTAAAAATAACAACATGAGCAGGAGGAATCCAGAACTTTTACTGCTTTTTGATCAGCCCATCCTTCTCCCTTTCCAGCACGGAGGGTTTTTAATGGTGGTATACTAGGAAAAGACACCAAAGCAGTTTCCATTAGCAAGCAGAAGGCATATTTTCTTTCTAAGTGTTAATCAGAAGACTGTTGCCTAGATCTAAGTAGTAGTGTGAAGATAGATTCTTTAAATGGCTGGAGTGCTCCTATGTAAAGTGTTCATTCCAGTAGTAAAACCTGCTCCCAGAGCAGTGTTCAAGGTGCTAGCTGCCTCTGTCTTGCCTCTGAACATCCATATAGCTTTGCTCGTGAGAGTTCAGGAGCTTACAGCTGAACTGTGCCGATTACTTTGGGTGCCACCTATGGGGTGAACACAGGCAGAAAAAAATTGATCCTTGTTTTTAAGCTGTGGTAGCTAATGCCATTTAAAATACTTCTGAGACCTGATTCAAATGTATCCTGACGTTTTTATGTCTGTGACTCTGGCATGGATTGGCTGTAGGGTATTTGCATTCAGAATAAAATAACTTAGGCTATACCTTTTTTGCATGCTGGTCTTTTCCCTCTAATAAGGCCAATTCTATCTGGACTTGTCGATATCCCTGTATTAGCAAAATCTGCAATACAGCTACAATTTGTACCAGCAAAAGACTTTCTTCCACTGTAACTTTCCCAGCTTCTTATATTAAATATAAAGTCTCCTTCTGTTGGTATAAAAATGTCAGTTAGGATTGTGATTCTTTGAAGTATTATATCAGGAAGGATTTATAGCAGAGACCAGGTCTTTTAAATCAAGTGTTTAGCTTGAATATGTAAGATAGGCACTGGTGAAAAACAGAGTAGATTGAAGGGAACAGTTGTTTTCTGCTTTGATGTTATAGTTAGGATGGAATTAACAACTGTATTTCCAGGAAAGGAGTCTGTTCTACAGGATTGTTTGACTGAAGTCATACGTCAGGTTGAGGAGTGTAGTGTAGGGCAGAAAGAAGGAAGTCCTGTCTGAATTTTGAGAAGCATACCTCTTATTTAGAAAAAATAACTGGAAAATAGTCCTGTGATTTTTCTGTCCCCAGTCCAAATAGCCCTGTGATTTACTATAAAACCACCTACATGACTTTCCTTAAACATTTTACAAATTTGTGTGGTAGTATTTTACTTCTACCTAAATACGATGTTTTTTTCATAGATGCCCAAAATTTGATACCTTCTGTAATGTGAAATGATAGGTTACTCTGCTTCCATAAATGCTCCTTCTGGCTGGACTAGGGGATGCTGGTGATATCTGCGTCTAAAAGGAAAGGTCTGACCCAAAGCTCTGTAATTTACAAGCTTTTATCTGCTACAACTCATGACAGACCTCTGGCTGGACACAGCAGTAAGTAATGGTCACAACCTCAGGAGCAGCTAGAAAAGAACTATGCTGATATTTGGAACAGTGAAGTGTATTTTCAAACTTGCTAAGTATTTTGAGTGTTTGACAAGTTCTGATATTGTTCTAGATAAGCTAGCATGCATAGTAGTAATGCAGCATTTTATCTGAGGCAATTCTTGGTTTCCTCTGCTAATTTTGCAGGCAGATGTTGGATAGCATATAAAGCTCTTTGCTTCTGGAAAACATCTTGTTTAAAACAATAAATAAGAAGAAACATCTTTACAAAAATAGATTTTTATTATTGCAATAATTTAAAGAAGAATTTTTTCACTATTTCTGAACAAACAATATTGTAAGAGGAATTATCAGTAATAGATCTGCGGGAACAAGGATTGTTGTGGCTGTGCTTGCTAATGCAGGTGTTAGGTCCACTTCATTTTTCTTCATGAAAAGAAGCTATCATTTAAGCTATCTTAAAATGACAGCAAAAGTATACTTTAGTTTTTGAAGGAGGTAATTACTCAGTGAAACTTCCAAAGATGGAAATTCAGAAGGAATAATTCTTCAATCTGTGTTTGCATTGAAAAGGTGAAGCCCTACCTAAAGTTCACAAGCACCATCCAAACAAAGGGAAGATGATAAAGCACACAGGTACCAGAGGTCAGAGCCTAGGACTCTGCTGTTCACTGGATTGGACATTTTCTGGGTTGCAGGTTATCAATGGCAACACTTAAAAATACTCCCTAAATGAAGAAACCCTTCAGTTTGAGTGGACCCAGTCTTGGAAGTACTTGTACAAGTTTATTGTCACAACAGCTCAAATAAGTAAGATGCGCATGTGAACAAACACAAAATCAGTCCATTAAACTGCATCCTGTCCCGGCTTCAATCAAAATAAATTAGTTTTGTCATTAATGTAGAATACTGTACCCTTGCCTACATTAAAAAAACCAGCAGCAAAAGCATTACATATTCTTGGGAATTTCTGGAGCCCCAACATAGCTCAGTTTCTAGTATTTAAAGCACTATTTGAACAAAAATATGACTGAACAAGTCTAATATGAAGTATTGTAAATCTCCTTAATGTCAAACAGCTTTAGATTCAAGGAGCCAATCCACCTGCGTACCTAAAAGTAGTTTTTCTGGATCCCAAGTTGTGAGGCTATAATAAAGTCATATTATCCCACAATATAAAAACTATTACAGGTCCTAACCAAACACTGGGATTTCATTTGACCTATGAGGAGTTCCCAAGTCCCCTAGAAGTTCAATGAAATTTAGGTGGTCAGCTCCAGCACATTTCATCCTTCATTCCTTCTTACTTCAGGATCAGGATACCTAGCGAGTATTTTGGAGAGCAGCATTTGAGTACACTTTGAGACACCTTCACAGAGCCTGATTTTTCACAGTGAATATACATTAACACTCCAAACCAGAGCTCTCCCTATGACTCAAGCTGAGTTCTCAGAGCTAAGACTTCAAAAATCTTTTTTTACTGTCTCTTTCCCTTAATTAATTTTGCTGCCTGACATACAAACTTCATCACTGTGCTTACATGACTGCATTAAGCCTATTAGTACAACTGTGTAATTTCTAAAACTGTTTCAACTAGTGCAAAGTATAGATCATCTCTAAATAAAAGACTCTAAATTGTAAGACAGAACTGAAAAGCTTCTTTTGTGTATCTTCCCCATCATCTCAAAATATAAAAGCCAAAGGAGTGCAAGCTTAGTAGGGATGAGTCTTTCAGTCCATCCTTTCCAAGCTGACACTCCCTCTCCACTTTATTTACTTCATTTAACTAAAGGCAAAGTTTTCCGTAAAAGCAGCTACATCCATTCATAAAATGAATGACAACCCTTTTTGCTTGCTATGGAAACAGCAAGACTACAGTGCCCGAGGTGATGTACAATAAGGCAAAATAATGCTTTATCTATTGTTACTGCTCACTGGATAGCAGTAATTCACAGAGTTTCCCACACCAGACTCTGGATATCCATCTCGGAGAACTCTAAAAGTTTCTCTATCATATGATTTAATCCAGCACAAATTTCAGGTTCTAATCTCTGTGATCCACTGCATTCATCCTCTGAGCAAGATTGACAACTTTTCTTACCCTTTCATGAAAATAATCTGAAAATTGAGGACATCAAAGAAAATGAAGGTAGGTTCATTAGCATAGCAAAAACTACTGTTTGCATCAACTGCCTTAACTTCTGTTATCCTTTCTTTGCTGACAGGTTATTTCCTATTACATCTTGCTAGACATTTTGAATCTCTTCATCTTCATACCCCACATTTCTGGAAGAGAAATTTTGATGAATCTTAACTCCTAGCCTGTTCACTAGATAATATGATCCCTGTATCTGACTTAAGGAATCAGACAGGCACTAAATATTCTTCAAAGGCATCACTTGACTCTTCTTTTTCTTCTTCTTCTTTTTTTTTTTAATCAATAAATTTCCCAAGACTAATAATACAGGATTTGTTTCACTACGCAGATCTTGCACTAACTGCTTAGTGTGGAATGCTGATCAGCATTATGTGGAATTTCAAACCTGGGGTACTTCCATATTGCTGCAAACTGTTTATACCATATGAAGTAGTTATGTAATTCTTTTGGAAATTGTAACTTCTTAAATTCACAGTAGCTGTTTCTTGTGTCCCCTCTTTTCCTCCCTGCCTTTCCATATTTAACTAAACATACTTTCTTCCCTGGGACCAGTCACTGGTACCACCACACTTGGTATACCGTAAGCTGAAATGTTTCCTAAAAAATGAAACCCCTTTTCTTTTCCCAATTCAATAATCTCCACTGAGAAAAAAGTTCATTACAAAAGTGGCTGAGGATAAAAACAGACAGTCAAAAACCTCAAGTTTTAAGATGCATCTGTGTTCATTGACATAGCAGTTAAGGAACAATTCAGCCTGCAGTATCCCTGATGACTGAATTTGTCCTTTTTCAAGGCTAATTCTCTTCATCATGAATATTATTTGCTAAATATTATGGAAGAAAAACATAATTTCAGCTGTGATTTGTACTTGTAGGTTGACTCTTGACATAGGATGCTTTGACAAAAGAGAAAATTATGGGGTAATAGAAAAGCGAGCTCTTCAGGATGTTAACCAGGATCAGTCTTTGTGTTAAATCAGATCTTGACAAAGTGATAGCTTTTGGAGGATGGAGGTTCCCAGTATCATTTGTCTACTGGATACCGTGGCTTCTGTCAATCACTTGTAGGTTTGCCTTGCTCGCTGCAAAACGTAACAGATGATTATTCTGTCTGCTTCACAGAGACTGGCTCAGTGGGCCCTTCTCTGCCTAAGCATAGGTCATCTTCCCGAGATAATTAGATGGTACATATCCCTTCTGACCTTTTGCTTCGGCCAGCCACCAGTCTTTATTGCCACTCAGGTCAGAAAACCGAAGTATCCTAACCTTCTGGTACTCCTGAAGACTGAGTTCTTGGTCATTTCTTGCTTGAAATGCGTAAACAGCATAGAAGGTCTGAAAAACGAAAGCCACGTAAACCAAAATCGGAATTGAAAATTGTAGCCACATCTTACCCTGTCATTGTGTATCAGTATGAATTCTGTGTACAGAAAACATGTAATAACATCTACAAACCAGTGCACAATCAGTGCCTGTGACTGCTGGACAGGGCCAAAATAAAAAGCAGAATTGAAGGGTCTGGGGAATTCTGCATGAGGAGGAATGAACCAAACTCCAAGATCTCATCACTTTACTACACTGGTTTTCAGCTCACACCAAGTGGCTGTGGATCGCATGAAGAATTTTCCAGCAAGGTTTTCTCAGGGAGAATCACCTTTCCCAAAGCTCTTGTATTCAAATGTGGTACATCGGTCACTTCTGTGCCTTGCTGATCAGCATGTCAGCTCCCTTGTCAATGGTAAGTCTAAAAACGCCCCAAACTGAGCTATTTTGCAGGTTCTTTCTCCATAGAAGAACCATGAGGCATTGTACGTGGGATAATGCAAGAGTCTATTTTCTGTGACACAGAACTGCAATTCACAGTTTAACTGATTATCTTTTCTTCCCTCATAGCTACTTAAAAACAGAGGATAACAAATTCCCAAGTCACACTGATAGATTAGTGCCAGTCTTTTCTGGTGTAAAAGGAAACCATTTAAGTTATAAACAGTACACTTCTAGATTTGAAATAGGAGCAACCAGAAGACAGGTAATGGTGTGTATCATACTTACATGCTGATCATCCATATCCTGAAGAGCATCAGTCCCTGTGCCATTAATTGTGGGATTTTCACAGAATTGGAGAGAAGAGCTGCTGTCACTCTTCTTGTGCCCTGGACTTCTTGTGCTGCTGTCAGTAGAGGGCCGTGAAGAGACAAAGAGGCTGATGTTATCAAAATCATCATCACCAAAGCCATTTTCTGTGACATCCTTCTGTGCTTTGGCTGGATTGTAAGGCCTCAGGAAGGAGGAATACACATACCCTTTAAGGACTAGAAATCAGAATAAAGAGACAGAAAATAAACAAACAGCAAAACACTGCTGAAACACCTAAAATCATTTCAAAGCCAGCCATTTTATGCAGCTGTCAGTATGACAGAGGCAAACAGAGGGGGCCACAATGAAAAGAAATCAGTATCCCAAAGGGAAGCTGTTGTTGGGACCTCCATGCAGAGAACTTACTTCCTGTGTCAACAAGCCATCTGCTTGTACTTCCAAAGGGGTCCTTTTGCTCCACGACAGCCACCAGTTCCCCCTCATGTAAATTGATATCAAGTTCCTGCGTGGCATTGCACTTGCGCTTAGCTTGGTACAGCGATTCGGGGCTGTACGTAGACAACAGCTTGGACCTGTGGCCTTCTGTTTGACGTGGGGACTCCACCTGAAAAGCAAAAAAAAAAAAAATTCAGACTCAGTAATGCTGAGGTCATTTCTGGAGCAATTTAATTGCAAATAATCTGTGTATGTTGCCAATGGACACCAGGTTTTTACAGGTAGACCAAGGAGTGACTTAACACAGCTATATGTGACTAAATGGCCTTTGCATATGCAGGAAGGACCTGTCCTACTGCTATATTAATAGGTGAGCAGTAAAGGGCAGATTTTAAATAAATGTAGAAATTTCACTAATTAAAGACCGCCTAGTCTGTCCTCTGCTCTCAAAGGGATTGTGTTCTGTACATGAACTGTCTCTTGCTTAACTGTTTTTCTGAAGAAATTACCTTTGTATTCCTATGTAACATGACCAAAAAAAAAGCATAATCCAAAAATGGGCTGAGGTTTGCTAAGACCAAATAACAACTTGCATGATAAGGCACTAGTCAAAAGAAATCAGTGGTACCCAAACTGTTCGCTTTTTGGATGAAATTACCTCCCTAAATGAGGCATGGAGCTATTAACTGCTTGAAGCCTATTTGTTTCAGAGTTAGGTTAGAGGGCAGGGAGAGAGGTGCTGCACATCAATATGATCTTAACATACCACAGAAGGAAGAACACATTTGCCTTACTGATGCGAAAAGGAATCCTACAGCTTCCTCAGCTGCTCCTGTAAACCTGCACTAGAGTCTTTATTTTACTTTAAACAAGACTCCTAAAAGCTCTGGAAATGTCTGATAAGATTGGGAATCTTTAAAATCTTCTGCTGTTGGGGTGTATGTGTGTGTGTATGTGTGTAAACACCAGTACCCACAGCTGAGCATAGGGGAAAAAATCATCTGAATTACAAAACTAAGATACACTAAAAGAGTATTTAACAAAAGAAGTAACCCAAGTTATTTATACGACCTTAGACTTAACATGTGCTTAAAGGCCTAAGAGTAAGCAGAGGTAATTTCAAGTGGATTTTTAAGATAATAACATGAAAAAAACTGAAAAATCTTCAGAAGATACAAGTCAACGAAACAGCTTCACTCTAATGACCTGATTCAGAGACACAGTTAAGAGACCAAGCCCAAACCTTTAGGCTGCATAAAAATGGATTTGTTTCAAAAGTGATCAAAAGAGGACGCTTTATACACAATTCAGATGTATGGTACTCACAGGAGAAGGGACAGGTTTCTTTCTTTCCAAGCTCAATTTTCTCTCAATAAATGTTGCACTGCTGTTTTCTTTTACAAAATTCAGCTTGTGAACCTCCTCTATCAGTTGATTCTGCACTTCACAGATGCTTGAGGAGGACAGCTGCAAACACAAATGTGGGTTAGATCTCATGTACAAAATTGTAAGGAGATTTGAGAGAGAGCAGATTTGGCTTAATGGGCTGAAAGCTAGGAGTCAGGAAATCTGACAAGTCATGCCAATTTTCTGCAGAGCCCATAGTGCAGTGTACTCTCTACATACAGGACGTAAAGAGAAGAAAGGGTCTTGCCTAAAGAAAGTTTCTAGTAATTGCTATTAGATTTAAAAGACATGGCAATTGAAGTTAAATCATTAAAAATATTCTGAGCGGTGCTGAAAATGAACAGCCTTGTACTTATGCTACTGAGCCACCTGCTTTCAGATGCAAATGTGCTTCTCAGCAGCTCTCAGAGTGGCCAGTGTGCTGCAGAGCTTGGAGTAGTTTACCCCACAGCTGTGTGTTTGTGCAGCCGGGTGCTGCCAACAGGTTAAAAATCGTTGGGTAAGCTGAGTCTCTGTCTGTGGCACTGGGTAAGTGCTTTTGGTCTATGCCTAACCCCAAATGTATTTGCTGATGTAAACAGAAAAGAAAGAAAAAGAATTTGATTTTTTTAGCCAGACCTTCACCGAAAACAATGCTCGTACAACAGCTTACAAAATATGACAATGTCAAATTACAGGGATGCAATTTCTTCATGTGGGAAAAGCCTTCATTTTCCCATTAGACACATAGCTCTGTCTTGATCCTGACCTTGCTTTCTTAATTTTTTCAGCTACCCCTGACTATAATGTGCTCTGTTCAAGCCTCAATGGGAAGGAATACCCTAGAACTGCCTTACTACAACATGTTTCCTATAGAGAGTCTTGCTCTGGTTCAGGTGAGTGGATTTGGATGTGTGGAAAGCACTGTTGCAGCTGTGCTTCTCAGGGGGTTCAAGTCCTCCAGGCAAAAGTATGACATAACTGAAACACAGTATGATTTTCACACAAATTGAGAATAGTTTTTCAATTTCAATCTTCAGGTAATGACCATGGTGCCCAGAAAGAGTAGAGTGGGCTGGAGGAACTAATGCCCTCCTGCATAGCCCACACAGGCTCCTTTGGTACTTTTGGCTATATAAGTAAAATGATTCGGACTTTCTATGCCAGCACAGACAAAGCTATTCCTTACTGCCGAGAGGTGTCTGCAGGAGCTTCTGCAGCATATCTGGGTTTAAAAGCAACTTGATTTCCATAAAAATTATTTCATCAGATCTCCTGACTTGTTTCTCTTTTGCAGTCATCTGTGACTCTGCAGGTCTAGCAGCCACAGAAATGTTCATGTACTTTCTTAGAATTTCTCTTTCCTGCGTTTTCTGGGCCATTTAGGGTAGATGCTAAGAAACAAGACTAAAATGCTAGCAGCTGCCTCCCTTTTGCCTCACTGTAATGTTCTTGCCATTACTATCACTGCAATAGCTGGAACAGTTCCATTAGGATCGTTCTCTATGAAAAGTCCAGGTCTGAAAATACTTAAGCTCAGAACAGAAGTTTCTCAGAACTCAGGTCTCCAGGAGTCTGGGGTGACCTTATCACAGCCTTCCAGTACCTAAAGGAGGCCTAAAGGTTTCAAACTGAGAGGAGGTAAATTTAGATTATATATTAGGAAGAAATTCTTTACTGTCAGGGTGATGTCAGGCGGTACTGGAACAGGTTGCCCAGAGAAGTTGTGGATTCCCTATCCCTGGAAGCATTCAAGGTCAGGTTGGATGGGGCTCTGAGCACCTTGGTCTCATGAAAGATGTCCCTGCCCATGGCAGTGGGGTTGGAACTAGATGAATTTTAAGGTCCCTTCCAACCCAGACAATTCTGTGATTCTGTGAACTTAACCTTTGCAGAGCCTGCAAAGGAGAAAAAAAAAAACAACCCAATTGTGCTCAGCAGAACAAGAAAAAATCAGTGTAGCTTGTGGATGTGTGTCCTACATACCTTTAACCAAAGCATACAGAAAGAAAAAAAGACAAATTAAGTCAGAGCTATACCTGTTTCTAATGTACTTACTGGAACAGGCACCACCACAGCAGAATTTGATTGAAGTGCTGCAGACATAATATTCCTGAGGAAGGTGATGAAGCAGTATAGGCAGTTCAACACAATCTTTTTGGCTGCTCTGTTGAATACCTGAAGTTCTTCCACTAGCTGTGCATTTAGAGCCTCATAGTCTTTCTTTGCCAGGTCCAGCTCTTCTCCGGTTGACCTCTGAAGGCAGCTGTTGTAGTCCAACAACTTGTCATAGCGCTTCTGGATGAGCTTCTGAGGGCCTGAAAACAAGGCTTGTAGTGCTGAGAGAGGAGTCAAAATCAGCTTGTCCAGTTGAGCCATCTGGAAAGGTATAAAACAGACCTACTCATTACTTCATTCATACAGTCCTTCAGACTCCGTAACAGGTTGAGCCTGATGGCAGCCTGTCAAGCCACCTGTTAATTAGTCTTCACAAACTGTTGCTTTCAGTGGCAGCCTCGAGCAAGGTCCAGCATGACTTAGAATCTCCTTCATGAGGCTGCAAAGGAGAGGTATCAGTTTTGCAGCCTGCAGTGTCTGGCAATGGCAGTGGTGCCTTGGAGCATGCAAGGTGTTACCACTGGGGGAAAACAGCAAGGATTGGCATAGTGGTCCTATAAAACCGGGATTTCTTTAACTGAAAGGTACCATGCCAATATACAGCCTAAAGGCAATGAGGTCTTGTGAAGTGGCAGTCTTTTTTGCCTTTTTTTTTTTTTTTTTTTTTTTCCTCTGGAAACAGCTGTAACTCAATTCCTGTTTAAACAAACAAACACAGTCACTTGATTTGATTAAATTAGGTTATGCTTGTTGGTTTTATCTCTAGTAATCAACAAAATTAGACACCTGGTAAAAAAAAAAAGTCTCTGACTTTTCCATTAGTCTCTAATTGTCTCAAGGGATTAATATTGCATGAAATAAAATTTATTTTTGCAAGTCACTTGTTCAGATACAGCACAGGCTTGTAGTGAGTGAAACTCATCATCATATTAAAGCTCTTGGACGTTGTATGTGATTGAAGTTGTTGGGTTTAATGTGAGAATACAATCAGCTGTATCTGTACCCTCCAAAACACATCACAATTGAGGACAGATCCATTTTAGCCCCAGAATTGCTCTTCCAAGGCCAAGATGACATACACTGGCTGGATAGATCCTATTTTATTTCCACTTGAAAATTTTCCCAAAAATATAACAAGATAGGAAGGTATTAATTATTGACAAATGCACAAAGGGGAAAAAAATTAACCCAAGCCCAGTGCTGAGACCTCCCTTGATAAAAACCTTTCAGGAAAACATGTGAAGAACCCTACAGGTTGTTCAGTGAGAACATCTACCCACTGTGCAACACCAAGACAAAAGTTTGATTTTAAAAAAACCTTATACATAGGATAGAGAATCCTTGTAATCTTGTAAATCCAAGACAGAGAAATAAACAGACAATTTAACATGGTTAATAGCAATGTCCTCAGTTTAAACAAATAGTATTAAGTTGTTTGGGTTTTTTTAATTACACAGACCTTCAGAATAACTGGGTCATGAGCTGGTAGGTGTTACAATTTTTTTTCTAAAAAGGACTATTTTGTTTCAGCTCTTGTGGAATTACTTTTACTTCTCTTTGATGTTTCTGAATATGAGGGCAGCTTCCATAATGAACACACTCATCACTGCAATGATAGAGGGGTAATCTTTTGCACTTTATGCACTCTTCCATTGGAAAGGCATTGAAAATATCTTCCTGATTTTTGAGATTAATTTTTGAGATAATTTTCAAATGTGCGAATTTCAGAGGAAAAGATATACATCATCGTACTTCCCTGTCACTATTCTGAAGGTTGTAGTCTGCCAAAGAGTGTTCATTTTCTTGCAGGCTGAATGTTTTGGAAAGGATTGAATGGCTATATTTTAGTCAGCACAGAGCTAGGAAAGCGTAAGAAAACCTCCACCACTGAATTTTTCCAGCTTGAGCAGCTCTTTGAAGAAGCAGCCTGTCCCGTTTTGAAGAGACATTTTACCTGTCTTATTAGACCCAGACATTAGAGTTTATTTGAATTCTGAAAGCAAAAGGCTAGTTGAAAAACTCCTCCTTTTTTTTTTTTTTAATTGCTTTATTAATTACTATGTGGTATATTCAGAATTTTCACAGTTTCCCTATGTGGAGGACTTAACAATGCTGTGTTAATATCTGGACTGATCTTAGAGGCCTTTTCCAACCCAAACAGTTCTATGATTCTATGACTCTAAAGGTAATAACTTACTTGAAAAGTCAATAAATCTGAGATTTTCACCAATATGTGATTCCAGGAGCTAACTGTACATGAGCCCAGTATAGATCACAAAAGTTACTCTTAAACTGCAAGTGCTGGTAACAAAAGTAGAAAGGCTAAGACCTGCTGCTCTTGTCTGAAGACATACAAATCTAGCGCAAAGATTTTAGTTTAAGCCCAGGAATTTAGCTTGAGAAGTTTTCTTTAGTTTCTCTATGGAAAATGCAACGCATTTACACTGAATTTTATCTTAGTTCTTACAGAAACTCAACCAAAACCCCCACTCATCTTTTCCAATGGATTCCTAAAGTGAGGGGGTTTAGTTCCTTTCTGTCCTAGTCTTCCTCACATACACCTGTTTTCTCACACATACAGATGGCTGTGTAACACTGGACACTGCATAAACTTACAAGGTCTTCACAGAGATTTGCAGTGTTGTTCCCTTTTTTCAAACAATCATTGGCTTTGTCACCTTTGTCTTGCAAGATTTCCTGAAGCACAATTATATTCTGGGCAGCCAGATGTATAGAATCCTGAAAGAGAAGATGGCAGGAAGATGAAACAGTATTACAGTCTGTTTTAATATACTGCATTTACTCGGCCAGATACCACTGATGGAATTTTCCATCTCTGACACCCATGCAGCTGCTGTGCAGTTTCCAGCCATTGTGGGGTTGTTTACTGTGATAATATTTTCCTGTGGTTTGTCTATTTTCAGTGCAAACTACCTAAGAATCAAGTTGTTAATGTTCACCTGAAAAAACTATGCCCTAAACTAATGAATGTCCTACTGGAAAACAGCTACTCCTCAGCAAGAAGCCAGCTGGAGACCCATGCATCCTCAAAAGCCTCTTTTGGGGACTAAGTAGAACTAAAGTGGTGTATTTCACTTACTCAGAATTTTAATCTTAATGAAGTGTGGATCCATCTGGATAAGGAACTGTCAGCACCATTCCAGGCATCAACCCTTGTGGGCTGAGCTCACTGGCCTCACTCTGTTTGCTGAATTAAACAAGGTGCATTTGCAATAAGCCCTGGCCAGCTGGCTTTTGACCTTACCCACCTCTCAAACAACTTTTAAGTTTGGTTAGGGCACCCTTACACTTTGACCTCATGCCAAAGTTGGCAAGTAGTCCATGAGAGGGAGAGGTTGATAAGTCACAAACCAACCCTCAACTTCGGAGAGGAGAGTTGAAGCAAAGACATTTACAGAACTTGGACAGTCTGTATATCTAATGCCAGGCCTCAACACAACCTAGCAACAGGAAAAAGGAAGGAGCCTTCACATCCAAAATACATATTTTAGGACATTGTAATTCATATGGCTGCAACTCAGTTCTTCCATTTTTAATGAGAATCAGTTTGTGCTCGACTGCAGCAGATGGGCGCGACAGCTTCACACAGCGATTGAAAGTCCTAACTGTGCCACCAGACAGCACCTTCTTCTCTGCACTGCACCTGTGGGTCTCCACAGAGCCTGCTTCTGTCAGGGGAAAAAATGCAAAAGAGATGGCTTCAAAACTTCTTTGCCATGGGCTCAGCAATGTATAAGCAGCACAACTCATTTATTTAATACTCTGATGTAGACAGGCCTGCTTATAAATAATTTGGTGTTGCCTAACCAGTGGCAGAAATCTGTGTCAGACTGGTTATGGACAGGGTTTGTGGCCACAGATTTCAAAAAGGCTTGTACCCACCTGTAGGTGTTGCGAAGAGAGCGAAATGTTCTTCACACACAATTTCACAGTCTTCTCTAAACTTCGAAACAACTTTTCTTCCTTATTAAAGGTTTGATCTTTCACCTAAAATAGACATTTCCACTGTTATTCTGGCAGCCCAAAGGAGCCTGGCTAATGAAAGAGACATCCGGAGTGCTGCTAAAAAAATCCCAAACCTTTCCTGAACTCCTCCCTTTGAAAACAGATCAACCCTTAATCCTCCCAAACTCCGGTTTTAATTCAAGAGAAGCGAAAACCGCAAGGCAGCACGACAGAGAATTCAATTTTTAAGTCCCCGTGGAGTCGCTTTTTTAACGAGCACGCCATCGCGAGCCGACAGAACCCTAATTGCTGCTCCGTTTGAGGAGAGGACGGGGAAGGTGGATGGTGAGATGTTTTGGTGTCGTGGCATCATCCCCTCGGCCGGGTGCCGGTCCGTGGGCGATGGGGCGCATTCCCCGCGGGGGGCTGTAGGTGGCGCTGTTACCCCTAGAGCCGCGCCAGCCCTTCCCTGGAAACGCCGGCAGCTGGGAATGGGCTTGTGCTGCTTCTGGGCGCCAGCTGGAAAACACCCTGGAAACACGTTTGTTTCTGCCCACCTCTCACCTGGGGAGCTTGAGAGATCTCAGGGCTCGTCTTAGGGGTCTCGCTGCAAGGGTCACAGCGTGTTTCAAGATGTGTATTGGAAAGTTTCTTAGTCTAATTAAGCAGCAGAGACGGCTGAATCTTTAACAGATGTGTTCTGATTCTAAAATGATTCTCAAATGTTTCAAGCTTAATGAGAAACAAAACCAAAAAACATAAACCAGAAGCTTCTAAAGGAAAAAAAAAATCACATATCCTCTTAATCAAATTTAATTCCTTTTTTTTTTTTTCTCATTTTATAGCCTTGCTGCTGCCTGTCACATTCTGAATACAAAAATTTCCACTGTACAAATAAATGAACAGAAAAAAAAATGTGGGTAGTTTGCACCAGAGAAAGGGGGAAACCACTGATAAAAAACAAAACAGGAAAAAATGGCATGTGCCTTGTAAAGTCACATCTAGAAAAGCAAGTGACCTTATACGATCAGCCATCTCATGCAGTGAGGTGCACTAGATATCATTTTCAAGGTCAGTTGCAATTGATTTTCTTTTAGATTTAGATTTAAGCCTTCCTGAAAATGTTTACCCTGCTATGTTTTGAATTACAACTTTGAAACTATGAAGGAGCATTTTATTTTTGGCTGCCCAACACCCATCAGACTCATCACAGAGTTGTTTGTTTCTGGTAGTTTTGATGGTTCCAGGTCTTTACACATGTAGAGGCAAACCCCATGGCCTTTCCTAATTAGAGGTATTGCTCATCTTCCTTGATGGGTTCTGAATCTGAATGCTACAACATGGAGCAAGACGGACTGAACACGTTCTCAGCCCCAACAATAACTATTGCCAGTTTATCTGCCAAATGCTGACCTCAGGCTTTGTTTCCCAAAACTACCACTCACTTCCTCTCTACTGAAGATCAGAAGTTTGAGAAACTCTCGTGCAAAAAAAGGAAAAGGTGGAGAACACATTACATTATTTTCTATTTCAATCACCAAGATCTTTCCTGTCTACTGTGACAGTCAGAAAATGACTTTATAAATTACGCAGGAAAAAAAAAGCAACACCACAAACTCCATTTCCAACATATTTTGAGAAATGTCCCGAGCAAAAGCAGAACTGAAGCTGTTGATGCAAATCTGCAGTGGGATGAGTAAGTACCTGAGGTTCTCCCCCCGTCAGTATTTTCAGATGGCTGGTGACCCTCTTGGATTTCTTGCTAATGGAGTGAATGTTCAGTCGGGAAAACTTTTCTTTAAGGGTTTCATCATCATCATTCTTCCTATACTTCAGCACTGCAGACAGAGAATTTCATTACATTAATAATCTGTATTCGCAGGACTTTTCATAGGGACAGGCGCACAAATATGAAACCATTTGAGAGCAGACACTTTGATGTCACTTGCTGTAATCTTGTGTGAAAATGCTTGAGAGGATGAAAACCCTGTTATCAACACTAACCTTGGGAAGAGTGAAGTTCAGGCTTCAGTGTGGCAAGCCTATAAGAAATACTACTATTACTGCATCTTAATTATTATCAATGTTTGCAACTGCATTACAGACAATATAACACGAAGTCTTTCATAGTTTTGATACTGGAGTTACCAGACAGACAACATAGTTGGCTGAGGATAAGTGAAATTAAGGCATCTGTCACCTTTTGAAACTCAGTGCATTACACAGCATGGGTGGCACCAGCCAAAACTGTTGTAGTGAAATACCTGGAGCTGAAACCTCTCTTGTAATGGACAGCCCAAACCTACAAAGACTTGCTGTGCTTTTTTCTTACCTAAATCTTTCCTCCTTTTAAGTTCATTGATGTTCACATTAATGTTTTTCATGGCAAAAAGGGCATCTTGTAGCGCCTTGTGGTCAGGGTGAGAAGCAGGAGTTGAATTCAAGAGCTCATGGAGTAACAAGGGATATTTCATCACCCGTTGCACTGGTTTAATCATCAGGGATCCCATGTCCATTAGATTTGGCTTTCCTCTGTAATTTATACCAAAAAAACTGTCACAAAATGAGAAATTCCTTGAAGTCAAAACCTTGTTATTATTTCTGTCTAGCGATTGAAGCTGCTGCCTTTTATATCCTTCAGCTGAGCTTTCACCTACAGAAAATATCAAAACCAGAGCAGTGCTTTGCACTGAGTAATAGTCACTTAAGTGCAATTAAGTCAAAAAATAAGACACATCTGTCAGGGAACGGAGCCTGTTGTAAATGAAACTCTTCTGTTGCCCCCTCGATGTGAAATACACCCAGAATTTTCTGTATTTTCAGCAACCTACCAGACTATTGCTTAGACATTACTTCTGAAATTGTCCCACTCAGTCTGAGGGTGCGTGTGGTGTAACTTACACATCACAACACCCAGGAAGGGAGAAGTAGGTGGAAGAACAAATAACAGGAAGCTTGAGAAATGCATGTGAGAAGGGCTGTTACATCCTGCTCTAGCGCCTCAGGCTTAAAATTTCAACATCTACGTGCTGAGAGTAACTAGGGAGCCTGCTCACACTGCACCCCTTCTCACAAAATCTCTGACTTGCTACAGTGACCTGAGTCTTAAGCTTTACTGTCTTTTACTTCTGTTTTTTCTTTGCTGGCTGCCAGATAGTTATTTCTAATGATGCCTGAGCTTCCAAGGGTACCAGATTGGGCCTGGGGAAATGTTGAACATTCACTCAGGCTTGATCCAACCTGCTGGAAGACTCCTTGCACAAAGGCAAAGCAGGCAGCTGGTCAGGGTGTCAGAAGGATGAGAGTAGGAGAGTCACAGCTTCCAACACAGGCAACAGGGGTGCTCTGTGGATCTAGGCTCAACCCCTACTGGCTGGGCAAGGGCAGCTTCCCCAGGCATCCAAGTGCCTCAGGCCATGAAGGCCACCCGAGCTCTTGGGCCCCAAACCAGCTGAACTCATGCTCCAGCCCTGCTCTGGACAAAAGACTTTGCTTACACTCTCCAGGGTTGAATGGAAGAGGCTGTGCAGTGTGCAGTCTGTCACAACAGCCTGGAAGAAAAGAGGGAAGGGCAAGATCGAGCCATACGTGCCTTCATTACCTTCTATGTGGCTGGTAGAAACATGGGTTACCCAGAAGAGGTAACACCAGGTGGTCAAATCCTAAGACCAGGCCCAGCCACTGCTGAGCCGCCAGCAGCAGGACAGACATGTCCTTGGCCTCTCCTTGCTACAGTGCTCCTCAGCAAACCAGGCAAAGCTCCAGCATGAGCTACCTGGGACCTCCCTGCCAAAACTGAGCATGAGCTGCTGGTAACAGTGTGGAGGGCAATAAAGCAGAGCAAGCTTTCCATTTGCATGGCCAAAAGGCTGCTTTGGAGGAGAAAAAGTTGTTTGACATTAACTGTGCAGGAGTTAAGGGTAGGCAAAGAAGGGTTTCTGCATGTGGAAAGATGAAATAACATGATGTAGGAAAGTACAAAGAACAGGGAACAGCCACTTGGTTTCGCAGGCTGACATCTATTGTTTTGAGCAGCAGAGAGAGTAAAAGAAAAAAAAGCCTTCATTCCCATTTTTATATGCATAAAAAGTACAAGAGCCAATCCTTACTGCTGACTAATTAACTAACAATTTGAATGTCTCTGAGAAGAGACATCTGCATATTTAAACCATCTCTCTCAAACAGACATTATCTGTAAAAAAGTTCTGCATGAAAAAAAATTAACAGTAGATGCCTTTTAAGGCTTCTTGATATCCCGAAACCTTCTCATCATTTCAATCCCCCCTCATTTCCCCTGTACCCTACATTAAATAGAGTGTTATTTTCCCTTCTTTTAGCTTCTGGCAGCAATAATGAAAAAAAAAATCTTAAATTGTTATTGTTTTCTCTGAAAAGCCCCATGAATGCAAATCTATAAAAGCTGCCTCATGAATGGAAAAAATCTTCAAGTGTCTTCTCTTTATACAGTTGCACTTTGGACAGCTGCCCAAGTGATAAACAGTCCTCTGTTTCGTATCTGCATGACACAGTCTTGCAGTATGGTGTGAGAGATAGCAGGTTTGTTATAAGATAATGACTCCCTGGGGCACTAAACGCCACAAAGTTCAACTCATCTAATTCTCCCCAGCACGATTAGCTGAGATAGCCACTCTTCCTGGACAAGTCCCATTTGCAGTGCATCCCATTAGGACACACCCGGCTGCTGGGCAGGACAGGGCCCTGCCACACAACCCAAGCAGGACAGTAACGGCTTGTGACATATATTGTGCAGAAAATTAAGTTGATAATTCATTTGTGATGCTACTTCAGCCTTCTCCCCGTGTTATTATGAATTTAGCAAGTATTCTAGGTCATACATAGCTGTACTAATCTCATCGCAAATTATTACCGTAGCTCCGCAGTAAATCCAGCTGGTGTAACTGCAGTGAGCTTCACGGCATACCCTTCCTCCTGCCTCCCAAAGTCACACATACAGAAAGATTCCCACCCACTTAAAAAACCCACGGTGGTGAGGTACACAAAGGCAGGAGATGCAGGATTTAGTTTCATCTGCTCTCATTACCCAGCAGCTTGTTCCAGTGGCAAACACAACAGCCAGCGTGGTACAGCTGGGCTGAGGCTGGTGGGATATGCAGCTTGCCAGTTTTGAAACAGTGTGCAGGCATCAGGCTGCAGAGCCAACTTAAAGTCTCAGGCTTCATGGTTTGCTGTGCAGCTTCATTTTAGTACAAGGCATGTAGGACACATAATTCACTGTGCCGTAACCATCTCATGCAAACCCAGGGAATTCACTGAGGTCACACACTTGTTAAGCCAAGCAGAGTTTTTAACCTATTGAGCTGCTAGCAAAAGGCAACACTGTCTGGTATTTATGTAATTGTTTTCTTGATCATGCTTGAATGAAAAGCAAGCTGGAAGCAGCAACATCACAGATCATTTGAAGTGAGTTAGGCTCTATTTTTCAGTTCAACGTCAATTAGATTTTTGGGTGCAGTCCTGCCACAACTCTGCAACCTCTAAGCTGAGTTGCAGGTGATGGGATTTCTGAGTGCCCTGATGGTCAGCAGGGAAGGCAAATGCCACCACACCATGTGAGGTAGCCAAGCTCAGGGACAGGAGTATACAAGAACGTCCTTTATCAAAACAAAATTCAGAAAAACTATTTCCTACCATAGAGTAAAGCTTGTAAACCCAAACTTTAGAGTTTCAACATGCAAATCCTTTGAAGTGTATTTTATGCAGATCATAATTATGACATGCGAATGACTGATTAACAAATTCTCTGATTTTACAGGTAGGTCTGTTCCTCTCCTACCAACATAGACCACACTTGCTCCTCTCTTCTCTTAATATTTCACCTGAAGTTGTAATCTTTTCCTTCAGTTCAGCCACCCCCTCCTCTGACCTCTCACCACAGGTAACTATAGGCATTGCTGCATTTCAATGGTCCCAAACCTGCTGGATGTCCAGAAACTGCAGCTGTGATAAATTCTCCTTTATAGCTTTTCAAAGACGTCACGTTTTGCACAGAAGTCCCTTAACCACAACTCACCAGTGGCTGGAGGAGTTTTCTGGCTAAGCGTTGCAACGAGCTCGTCATTGTCACTGTCAGAAGGAAAATCCTAAGGTGGGCTTCTCATGTAAGGCTACTGAAGGGGTCATCAGGTTAAAAACACCTTTACCTGTGAATCTGTCTGTATTGTAGCTGGTCTACAGCAGCCTATGCAAAATGATATCAGAATGTCTGAATTTCAAAAATTGACACTATATTGTTGACAAGCAGTCTAGCAGACTTCAGAGCCCTCTACATATGTCCTGGAAAAATCTTTGGCTTATACTGACATAAAAAGCTTGTCTTCTTAAAATTTCCACCTGTACAGTTTTAAACATACTAAAGATAATTTAAAGATATTTTAAAGATTATTTTACATGTAAGAAAGGCAGAGTACTTACTCTTCTTCATATATCTTTCTGCAAAAGAGAAGAAAACAAAATATGTATTAGATTCTTCCTAAAAGGATTTATACAGATCAGGAGCCAGATTCTCAGATACATTTCAGTGACACAGAGCAGCTGTAACTGGCCAGATAACTTGGGTTTATGGATGCTCTGTGTCAGCAGAGCTGTACAAAACAGCCAGAGAGTATCAGTTAATCTGGCCCTATAATTTTTTGAAAGGACAGCCCCAAATGAGAAAGGATTGTCAGAAACTTAGCTTTGGCTATGAGACCCAGCCTTGTCCTCCCACTGTTAAGAGAAGGAAGTTTGGATCACTCTGCTAACAACTGTGAGTAATATCAAGTCATTAATACAGAAAGTAAAAATAAATAAGTCATTCTTCTACTTTACATATATTCCTGTCTTCTCTCTTTAAAAAGAAATGTATTTCTAAAGGAGAAATAATACCTTTCAGCCTTTTAGGATATAGAATCAATGAAGCTGTTAAGCTTTTTGTTGACTACACATCAACTGAAACCTCTCCAGAGTAGGATGGAGTTGATATGTATACTAAAAGCAGCAGGGACTTACAATTGTAGCTTGCAAACATGCAAGCATGTGCATAGAATGTTTTCCTTGTGGTATGAATTCACTCAAATGCAAGAGAACCAAATGTCCCCCCATCTCTGCATTAGGCTTTCCTGACGTCACATCCTCAGCCACTTCTTTTTGACTGCCTACACTCTCATCCCCTTGCCCACCAGTGTCTAGCTGAGCATCTGGAAGCTGGTGCTTTCATTGCTTCTGCACTGTCAGCACTTTGTGTGCTTAGGACGTCCCTCTGTCCCTGTAATATGTGACCGAGCTACTTCAGGCTGAAAGCTGAGCAGGTAGTTGCCAGCATCCTTTCATTTTTACCATCTGCATTTCTTTGGCTAAACTAGCAAACAACATCCCCAGTTTGTATAATTACAGCTGAAACACGAGGCTCTACAGAATTTGGATTTGCACATGTCTCCAATGCAGACACCTACATTTTAGGATGGATTTTTTTCCTCTTCAGTCAACAGGAATAGGAATCTCAGCATAGTTAATTAAATCTGATTTGTCTGTACAGATGTGCAGAGTGCCACTCTCAAATTGCTCCTGATATAGAACTTGTTTTTCACATGTCAGATATTGCTCAGCTGAGGAACAGAAGCCCCCAGTAATGTCAGCTAATTTAAGATTTTTTTTTTTAATGGAACAGTATTCTTTCCAAGGAAAAGAAAATATTTAACAAGAAAACATTTTGCAAGAATAGTTGTCACCAGCACACACCCACACACCCTGACCCCACTACCCAGCCCCACCACCCCCTGCCCGCATTTGCTATGTCTCACAATGGAAAACAGCCTATAACTTATTTGCTAACAATCTTACATAGTTTTCTTCCTAGGGCAAATATTTTCTAATGGGTAGTAACAGGTTTAAATGACCACAGTTCTGCATTTGAGGGTGCACTTATGGGTCTTAATTGACTGCAATCTTTAAGCACTGGGAAAAAGCACAACATCGTATACACAAACCAGTCGTTGGTTCCTGTTTAAAGCCTAATCAGGAAAGAACAAGACAAAACAAGGCTTCATTGTAAGGAAGTCTTTGTCACTTCCTGCTAGCAAAGCTACGGTTGCTCAGCACAAAATATCCTTTCTCTTCAGAAAGCTCAGCTGTGATGTTGGAACAGGAGCACCTCTTGCTGGCTCTGGAATTCAAGTGGCAGCATCCACCCTACCATGGACATGGATGCTGTTTTTTATCTTTATTTTGTTCCGTGCCCCCTTGCTTCAGCGGCAGGGAAGAATGACGGTAGCGGCTTCTCTTGATTAGCCAAGAAAGAATTTTGTAGGCATCAGCAACTGAAACATCCCCTTAGGGGAGTTACCTGGTTATCCTTTAGCCTGAAAGCCTGAGTTTATATGAAAATCTATTTCTTTCAACTTCCAGGGTAGCTAAAACCTGAGCACCCTGCACATATACTTTGTTATGTATTTAATAACTGGACATATTGCACAAAATAAGCCTCATTTTAAATATAACCTGTTTTCAAAGTAAACATTTCTCTTTCAATGTTGTTGATATTCTCCTTCACCACTCTTTCAAGATTTCACTTGGACATACTTCCCATCTCCTAAATCTTAACACATCTCTGCTCTGAAATTGTGGCATGTTCCCTCCTGACAGCTCTGTGAGATGCTTTTGGGAAAGTGAGGGGGCAAGAGAATTTATGGGTGGAAAGAGAAGCACTCTCCATGGAGGGGATCAGCAAGTTCCTGTGACTGGCTGCAGGAGGAAGCTGTGGCGAAGGAAAGGTGGATCCTTTATTCTGAGACATCCCCTTTTCTTGACACATTTCCCCTAGCACTGGGGGCTGGCACTGAAGCCGATGGCATAAAGCACCTCCCACTGGTGGGACCTGGCAGCTTGCTCCATCACTGCTCGCTCTCAAACACCCCCATCACGGGGGTTCAGCACCACACACCAGCTCCAGACCCCTGGGGCTTTGCAACAAGGGCCCAGAAAACACCAGTAGCTCCATTACAGGCTATTTAAATTCAAGCAATAGAATAGCTGAAGAAAGGGGGACAGAAAGTTTTCTGAGAGCTGGGCAAGGTATTTCCAGTAGCCCATGATATGATGCAGCATTTTTTTTTATTTGCCAGTATGGGGCACTGAAACTAAGGCAAGAGCAACCTTTCTTTTCTTGTGCTATTTTTGGCCATCTTAGAGAGAAAGAAATCTAATCATGGCCCCTGGCTTGTCATCTTTTCATGAAAGCGGCAAAAGCTAGAGCTCCCAGCAAGCCTTATAGAACTCCAGATTTACAGGGGACCTTTCATCTACATCCATTTAAAATGTTCCCTGCCAGGCAAACTGACTATGGACGGAAATCATCATTTGAAAAGATCTTACTTTAAGGACTGTACACAGTCTCTTAAATGCTGCTTCAGTTCTTCATCCTTTTCATAGGATTCCAGCATGGTGTGTGCATCATCGTGGTGATAGCAATAGATTTTATATGTGTCTTCTAGTGGGCCTTTAATCTGCAAGAACACTTCCCCTGTTAAGGAGAAAAACAAAGCATGTCAAGTCAGACAACAGCATCTCAGAAGGAGTTTTATTATTCCACCACATTAGCCGTGAGCTAAAAAGGCTGGCTTCCACTTTACTTCCCTTAGAAATGATCTTGCGTGTTTATGTGCATTATTTATTACATGTATTTCTCAGCTGCTCATCTTTGTCATAGCCAGGCACCATTATATCAGTGTTAATGCACAAAAATTCCCTCAGGAAAAAGCAGGAAATCTCTATACCTCTCACCCCTTCAAACACAGTCTCCTAATTCACTGCCCCAGCTTAATGCCCCTTCATTGGAAAACACACGGGAGAGCTTACTGATAAAGGGAGACCATTTTTGCGTCATGGGCTGGCAGGAGAGATGAATGTAAGCCTGTTAGTTTTCCTTTTGATTTTTTTTTCAGCTGAATATGAACTTAATTGGGTTATAACAGGAATAATGACTCTATCTTACAGTAGCCATTTCAATTTTATCTGTTTCGCAAAATCCTGAAATGGCAATTGTTATGGCCTAGAACTGAGAATTTTCTTCTCATGACAGAGGGACAATCTCCACCTCTCCCCTGATTAAATAAACCCACAACGGCTTACAGACATTTTTATATAGTATCTAGGCTTATATACAACTGAAGAGGAAAAACGCTTCCATTTCAAGTCCTCCACACCAGCATTTTCCCCCAAAGAACAGTTGGGAATTTTAGAGGCACTAGTCTTACACTCATTTCCCATTTAATTCTGGAGCCTAATCCTCTCAGCCTAAAACTCCTGTGTCAGTTTCTATGTACATAAGAAATACTATCCAAGCGGAGAAGGCATGCTTCATCTCTTCTGCCGAGATATTATGTCCGTTCTTACACCCTTGTGTGGCAGTGCCCTGATCAGAGTCCTTGGAAATGCATATAATAAAAAACAGCAATGCTAAAAACTCCTGTCTCGGGCATTTACTGAAAATTACATCTATGTGGCAACAAGTCCAATGTTTTATAAACATTCCTTCTGAGTTATAGCAATGATTATCAAAGTTAGAAGCCGAACACCACATTAATTGGGAGCTGTCTGTTCATCCACTGAGCAAGCGCTGAGCTGTCAGGCATCCTGCACGTTCCATCCTGACCAGAGTGTGCTGTTTCATAATACATTGCATTGAACTGCTCCGTCTTAAAGTGAAAAATGATTCAGTTACCACAGTAACACAGCTCTGGGTTTTTCCCCCTAGCAGCAAAGGTTAACTGGGCTGTCTAATGCATGTTGGTTTCAAGGTGCGAGTAAGGAAAAAACAATGAAGAGCTAAGACCACCGGAGTTCATTTCAGTTACTGGAAGGGCACAGTCAGAAAAGCACCAGCATCCTATAGTTAATGCTCTTTAGCTGTCTTCTCTGTCTTGTGCTTACTGCTAATGTTGAATGCTACCAATGCACACTGCATCCTGACTTTCCCCGTGAACTCTCTATGCAGGTCTTTATTAGCTAACGATGTAACAGGAAACCTTAACAAGCTTTCTCTTGATCCTGAGCACTTGGTGCCCGATTCTCAGAGATGATGAGCTCTCACAGTGCTTAGCACGGCCTGTACTATGCTAAGCCCTCAACTGAGATTTCATTTTCAGTGGGGAAAATACCAGCTGCAGACTTACAGCTCCTTTTAGTATATTCTAGAGGCTGGAAATTATCTTCTCCGAGATAAAAGAGATGAGCGAGTTCTGTTCACTGAAGTATTGCGCCACAATGACAGATACTTTCATTGATGCTCAGCGATGAGAAAAATTATGGGCTGATTTCATGGATAGGGCCTTTTAAAAGCAGATGAGTTTCTTAAATGTAAGGCCCTTCTTGGTTCTGAGCCATATGGACCGAATCAGATGAGTTCTGGGCATATCACTTTGGGAGCTTGCTTTATGGACCAAAACCACACCGTATTTGGGCACAAATTGAAAAATGCTCTGACAGATGCAAATCTGCCTGATGCCTCTTCCAGAGTGTGGTGGTCATCACTGTGAAAGAGCAAGTGCTAGAAGGAAGGCTTGAGTAACAGAAACGGTTTCTTCCCATGTCTTTCAGTGGTGCTTCCTGTGTGGACAGCAGTGGGAGAGGGAAGAAGAAGGGGTTTAATAGCTACAGCTGAGTTAAGGTTACTAAGTCTTCCTATTCCTCTATATGCAGCATCCAGAACAGAGAGGAGAAAAAGTTCAGGGGAGAACTATAAAGGGTATTTAACCTCAGAGGCATTTAGCATGAGAAGACCACAAAAGGTCTGTCTACATTAGTGTTTTAGCTCAGATTATCAGAGGGCTTCTGAAGCCAATTACTCATTAGTCCTCATCTCCCACGCCTTGTATGTGTGGTAGAGCAGTCACAGAGACACAAACTGGATCTCTTTGGGGATGGTAATTACCAGAAGACACACTCCAAGGGCACATCTTATGCAGTCCAACCACAAAGGGCATGTCTTAATCCACAGAAACAGGCTACAGCCAGCGTGAAGTAAGGCCTCTTGAAATGTGTAGTATGGATACTAGCTCCTTAGCAGAAACTCTTTAACTCTGCAAGTCTGCTCCTATTGGACATTATTACTTGTCAGTGTGGACATAGACAGAGTTTGGAGAACATAGACTAAAATAAGACATGAATTTGAGCAACCACATTGTTTTGGTTTCAAAGCAGTGAATTAGCAGTTCTCCTCGACCTCACCATGATTAGGTTGCCTTCCAAAGTATGATATTTCAATGCAAGATATTTAAAAACATGAGGGAATATGATGTATGTGTTAAACATTCAGCCTGGTTTTTCTGTAGGCTAGCTTCAACAACTTTTACACTGATTATGAAGATCACCCCAAAAATTATTACTTTGATGTACTTTCTCAGGACAACAAAGCTACTAACTTACTGCTTATAATGATGCAATTATTCTCCCTGCATTTGTCTCAGCCTTTGGGAGAATGTCTCACAGCTTGACAGCTTTCTCCCTGGCACAGGTTAGCCAACTCTGAGATCCGCAATCCCATACATTTTCATGGGTTTTTGTCTGATTCTGGAGAAATACACCTACTAAATGGAGGAAATTATTTGTCTTTACTTCTGGATGTGGCAGGGAACTAATAGAATGATTTTCTTGGCTGTGAGAAAGGCACTTCCTGCTAGAATAGAACATTGCTTATTAAGAGTATGACTCATCATGATGCACTTTCACTGAAATACCGCCAAACAACAGACGTGTCAAACTACGTTAAGCTGTTGCCTTGGCAAACCTGATTGAGACGTGCTAGGATTAATACTTTTCCCAAGCCTCATAGGCTTTAATATATCATGTTTCTTAGTCAAGTGGCAACCCATATTTTTTACCCCCTTATCTGTGAGAAGAGGGGTACTTTCTCTGAGGTATTACCTGTGGTATGTCATCAGTTTAGGGAAGAAAGAACCTCCCTGACCTCAGAATCACAGCTGGAAGTTTTTTAAACTAAACTGTTTGACCTTGCACTAAAGTAAATTAAATATTCTCACCTAATCCCTTAGGATGGCTCACCTACAACCTCTGCACTAAAGAAGCAGTTACAGGAGACCCAATAAGTGGTAACTTCTTAAATCTCTCCAGCTGTACCAGAATGTCAAGTGAATTATAGCCTTAACATTCATGGCCTGACCTGCAGACCTTGTGACTGTTGAGACACATCCAGGGCCAACCTGCTTGCTGAAAATACCCATAATCCCTACAGACATTCCTACACAGGATACCACAAACTTCATATTCATTAGAGCTTTCTTTACTGTCCAAGTCCCTGTTAAGCACACTTAGCCACCTCTTACATGAACCGTGTCACCCAGTGGGGTTGTGACATGCTTGTTATTCCAATAATTGTTAATGCTTTTCCTAAATGGCACAACTATGATTATGTAATATAAGAGTTGGTATAAGCATGAGTGGATTTAGGAAGGCAATACCAAACTCGATGAAAAGAATCTTATCAGTAAGTTGTATAACCCAGCACCGCTCGTTCTAAACTCATTTTCTCTTTCCTTCCTCCCCTTCAACATCCAGATGGACGGAAAAAAAGAGCATCATAATCCTACAAGTACAGTAGAACAACTGGACAGGTTTCACACGTCATTTTTCCTGTGTCATTATGGACAGCGTCTAGTATGCCGGCTTCTGGGAGAGGTACTGGGGAGGAAGTCAAGTCTGATGAGAATGGAGGACAGGAGAGAGTCATGTTTATTCTTTCATGTAGCTTTGTAGAACTCAAGAGGACGGTAAACATACCGATTATTTGCATGGGTGGTTCCACATCTGTCGTGGCTTCTTCCAACAATGACAGCAGTTTGGCTGATACTTGATGGACCAATTCAATGTTGCTAAACAAGCCATCCACGTCAAAGCGAGCAATCTAATGGAATACAAATATTAAGCAGCTACTGACAAAGGATAAAGAAGGACATTGTGTATGACAGACCTTCTCTTGCTATGCCCTGACTGTTCAACACTCCAGGAAGCACCACTTCTGCAAAACCTCATATAAACATCCTCCTTGTGATTTCAAGGACACATATACAGTTTTCAGATTAGTATAATATGGTTGACGCAGTTAACAAAGGGTATGTTATCAAGTGCTTTTAACCTTATTTTGAACTATCCCTGATCTGAAAGTGTTTACCTAGGAAGGAAATAAATATTATCATCTGAATAAAGAAAAGATCCTTAGCAGGCTTTGAAATGTTTGTTTACTTTCCCACTGAGGAAAACAATAGTTGACAGTGGGTTTTATTCCCTGATTAACACTAACAGAGGCCATTACATAAACTGGGACTTTGGCAGTTTGGTGCCAGCTAACAGGTACAAAGACATCTAGAAAGCTGGTATCATTTTAAGTTAGTTGTCCTATAAATCCAAAAATACAATCAAGATCATATAATTTCCACTAAAACAAAGACATTGACCATTTTGGGATATTAATATAACCTAACGAGCTTCCTACAGAGCCTAGCCACACCACGTGGATGTCAATGAACTGAATCAATTTATACCAACAGAAAATTTGGTTCTGTGTCCCTACTCATTTTAGAGGAAGTAAAAAATTTCTAGGACACATATTTTTCATTCCACAGCAGGGCAATAGTTACTATTTGGGGACAACTGGAGATAGCCAGTGGTAATTTGCTAATATTGAGAACAAAGACAAGGCCAATTTCATCATCCATATTAATACCCTCTGAACCTACCTCTCCATTTGGAACAGAATTGCTGATTTACCTAGCATCTTACCAGATGCCAGGAGGAGCAAATTGCATGCTATTGTATCAGAATCAGAAAAATACTCTCAGTACTAATGCAGGTAATTTCTTTAGAAATATTATAGGGGCTAAAACATGCTTTATCCATTTGGAAATATGAAACAAATTCATTGTTAGGCCAATTTTCTAAATGCTATCCTTCTCTAAACACATTACAGACCTTCAATATGGCAGTTTATCTGAGAATGAGCCTTAAAATCATACAATATCCTTAAAAACCTTTCAAAAATGCAGAAGTTATTAAATTAAGACAGTTATAATCTCTAAATTACTTTTCCTCTGTACATCCAGCACAGGACTTCTGACCTCCTCCCCAGGACAATGTCTACATATATCCAAACTACACTGTGCATGGACACTTACACAGGTTAACACAGAATGAATGTTTTCAGTTGACTAAAAATGAGCAAAGGAATACAGCACTCTTGTCAAAAATCTCAAGTTCAGCCAAGCAATACTCTTGCTCAGTGCTCACCAGGCTAGGGAGGGAGTCAAGTGGAGACTACTAAGTGGATGAACAAGTGAGGAGGAAGAAGTCAAGAACTCCTTAAAGTTATGTCATCAGATGCCAGGTCTTCTGAAAATGGGTTGTTCTTCCAAAAAGGGGTTGGAACAAATTCTGTTCCAACAGTTTTAGGAATGAAAAAAGGTCCTGCAGGAGTTTAAACAGCACAGAGTTCAGCTGACCACAGCATTTCCCAAAGAGGCATTGTCAATGTCATCTGAAGAACCCTTTGGCCTCTGCACCTGTATTTTGTCACTAGTTTCATAAGCCCTACATAAAAAGTACCTGGGTTAAGGTCTATTTAAAAGTATTTTTATTCCATATTTGCAGCAGATGTCATTTGTGTAGCCTCTCTGAATACTATGCTTCAGGCCCCAAAAATACAAATCTTTCTCTGAACAATCTCTTCTATTCCCAGCTTTCGGCTGCACCGTTTTTCTACAAATCGAAATACTGTTGAGGAAAAGGTGTTCTTTGAAGTCTCAGCTGCAAAAGAAAATGGGTATCATTGGCCTAATGAGATCTTTTGCCTAAAAGATAGTTTATGAGCCTTCCTTCTTAAATGTATCTTTTCTGGGTAGAGTGCAAATTTCCCAAGTGCTCACTGGCCTGTCAAGCATGGTGTTTATCCACCAGAGCTGTCTGAAAGGATGGATAAAGTTATCCTAACAACTGAATTTAAACTTGATGCAGAGATTCATTCCATTCCAGTTTGTACTGTAGAAAAGAAAACTTGGTTTTATTAGTTGTCGCTGCTTTTGGAGGTACCAGTAAAGATCTGCCAGGGCATGTAAGAAGAGTTATACCTACAGAGCAGTACGGAGAGCTGGAAGCTGCTGTTGCAGCCCACAGGGAGGTATATAGCATCCAAACTGGCCTCTGGGCGAGTACCTCAATGTAGGCTTTGTGCAAGGGCAGCACAAGTGTCAGGAGCATATCTGACCTTCCTCTCTCCTCACCAGAGCCCTGGCATATCACTTTCTGGAGTGCTAGCTCCAGCACCACGTCACTCCCGTGCTAGCACCTGTGCTTGCATTAAGATCGTCCAAAAGCAGAATGTGGGTGAGTTGAGACCTTGACATCACTGCCCTGTACGCCGCCACCAGCACTCACCTGCTTGTTTCTCAGGGGCTGAACCACCTCCCTGATGCAAAGATCCAGGTTGCTGATATAGTCTTTCTCCGTCTGCATGAGTTCTGCGATGATTTTCACCCTCTTGGCCATCATGCATCTACTGACTTGTTCTTCATCCTCCTGTGGCGAGGTGGCAGGGGTGGAGGACCCCACCTGTGGGGCCATTCTTTCTGTTTAAAAGAGAGAGAGAGATTTGTGAGGAGTGCACAAAGCCTGCCCTGCACAACCATGGTGGGGAAACGTATCTGCTGCCTGCTGGAAATTCCCAAATCACCATGGAGAGCAGGAAAAGAAGCATAAGAAGTGGCAAACCCAAATCAGACTGAGTGTCATTCCATCTCCTTCCTCTAAAAGTGGACATGGGCTTGGCGAAGGAAACCGTCCCTTTGGCATTAAGAGGATAACCCATCACCAGCTCCCCCAGCTTAGATGTTATGTATTGGGGAGAAATTTTCTGTGGAGCCCAGGAAAGTCTGATCTTTGTTACGCTGAAATTCAAGGATAGCTGATGCCCTTCTCCTTTGAAAACACAGTCTTGGTCTGACATCTGTTATGATTTGGAGGATGGGAAAAAAATATGTTCTGTGAAAGAAAAAGGCTGTTTACCATAAAAAAGCTTCACAATAATAACCTTTGTTTTGTACAATGTAACACTGAGTCTATTCATGGGAAATTGAGGGCAGCAAGTACTGGAGGACAAACTTTCAAATGAAGGCAACGTTAGTAACAATAATGATGAATCCTCTAATTCTGTTTAAAAATAATCTTTTGAAAGAGGCAAAGGAATTAAAGGACAATATGGAAAAACCTTTAATGATCAATAACAAACGTTCCTGGACCAACAGAGATCACTGGGATCAGGATATTCTGAACTATTTTTCAATACTTAGCACCTAGAACATCTGATTTGTTTCAAATACATGAAAATGCGAGTCTTCTACAGATGGGTAATTTATGTACACTACAGGACCTGCACACAACCTACTTATCTGTAATGATGGTTTTTCCATTTGCTGGTTTGTAAGCCAACCTGCAGAGATCCATGTCGACTGTAAAAAGGGCACTGAGTTTTATCTGTGTACACTGACAATCGAATCTATATTTTTCATGAGGAAACACACACACACACAAAACCAAAAACCAAATAGTAAAAAACACAAGTGAAATATTTCAGAGGCTATTATGGTGTTTTTCTGCTAGCCACAAGATGGTGCAGAGTACCAACAAAGATGCACACATCATTAGGTGCTCAAGTCTGCATTACCCGGGTCGAGCTTTGACAACATGGGCTTTTATTGCTCAGCAGCAAAGGATGGGAATCTCCTCTGAGGATCAGACTGCTGCACCTTTGTGTCAACTTCTTGTAGGGAGTGTAACGAATAATAGCAAGCAGTATGCTTGCAGGTGCTCTGCTCACTGACAGCCAACATTGTAATCGTTTGAACTGATGGTCAAGGGCAAGGTCGTGAGCACCCAAGTGAGTGTTGAGCAGCATGAGCTCACCAGTACAACACCAGCCACGGCTGCAGATGATAACCTGGAGATGGACTTGTGGGAAACCCCATCAGCTTTCAGGACAGGGAGCCTTGAGCCATCTTCCGACAAGAGGTGTAAAATATAATAAATCCAATGTATCATCTTCCCCAACCCCTTCTACAATTATGCTGAAACCTGATATTCAGAAAAGACAGGTTTGTTACTAATGCTTCTCCCACCATGTTTTCTAATGAGACTGATGTGACCACAGTTCTTTTCAAAGAGCTGCTCTGGGACTGCACCTCTGTCTCTACACCACTAGTTTTAAACAAAGAACCCAAAGAAACTGGTAGGAGAGGGGGAGGGCGGGCTGAGTTTTTTTAAACTTTTCTTGTATTTAGATGTACTTCTCAGCTCTGAGTTTTTAGCCTTGAAGTCTGTATATAACAGGCATGAACTGTGTGTCCTCAGACAATAAAATGGAAACATGAAGAGGATGTCTCCCCTCCACAAGGCCTTGGCTATCAAAAGAATTTTAAGTTGAATTTTGCCCCAGTGAGTCTGTGTTAGTGTGAGCGCATGAACTGCACAGGAGCTTGTGCTGCTGCAGAGCTCATACACCAAAGATGCTGTGTGCTGGATAAAACAAACCGTGCCCTTACATTAGTCAGGAGAGCAAAACTGGTACCAGTATCACTTCAAAGCTCCCTCTGAGAAATTTTCTGCTAGGGTTGCAGAAGGAGACCACCTTGCCTACTGCTGGCATGATAAACCAGCAGGTATTTTTCCTCCAAAACCTTAAATTCACAAGCAACCATGTGCACAATACATTTCTATTCGAGTTCTGCACCAAAATCAGGACTTTTCTTGAGATTGGGTGTGAAAATGTTTGCATGCATGTAGCTGTATGTGAGAGTTCAGGGCAGCTCTTGAGAAAGTGCAGAGAGAATCAGACATACTGGAAAATCTCAGAAGTGTTGTTTTCTCTCTGATACAGAACTGTTATGGTATCAGATGGAATTTTAAGGTAAGCACAAGATGCTGTGCAAAAGAACTTTCTAATCTCTTATTCTGGTGGCAGGGGAGGGCATTATACGAGCAAAATAAAGCCACTGCATCCCACTTCAGATTGCAAGTCACAGTCCCTTGAGAGGCTGTTCTTTCAGTTTATGCCATTAGATCACCCTGATCAAATTTGATTCTTGAATTATGTCAGGGCTCATCTATTATCTTTATTGCATGATAGATAATAATGCTAGGAAAGAAAAGCTATTCTCAACAGGAAGAAATAATAATGAGAAATATCAGTTAGATGCTGTTTCCTTATAGAAAACATGTTTTTTCATAAACGTTTCCTTTTGTTAAATGTAATATAATTTTCCATTTTCACTCAATATGTTCAGTTTTTCATTTCAGGCTCTACAGAATGCAACAGCAAGATCCTGAAGTGATGATTACAGCCCAAATGTATGATTTCACGTTCAGCTGATTGCTTTTGACCAGTTTGAGAACATTAGTAGCTTGCCGAAATCCTTGTGGAGTAAGTGAAAGTTTAATGAATGCACAAACAGCAAGTGCATATCTGGAATATAAGCACACTCATTTCTACCTGGTAATGTGCACCAGCCCTGGAACAGCTGAAGAGGGAGGATTAGCAGGAAGAGACATTGCTGAGGATTAACTGTTACATTAAGAATTTGACTCATTCGTCCTTAGAGATGCCAAGTTTAGAAAAATGAAAAAATATTCCATTGAATAGTATATTAAACAGTCACAACCTAAGCCCAGTTTACAAAAAAACTAAGTAGCACTTTTAGTAGGCATAAAGATAAAAAGTAGAATGCAGTGTTTGAATTGTTGCTTTGTGATGTCAGCTATCTGCAGGAGCCACCTTTCTGGAGGACTTGGCTTTAGAGAGGAAGGTGATGACTTTGGTTTTCCAGCTGTGTATTTAAGCACATGGCTTTAGTTGCACGCAACAAGACGTTCACTATGTGATGACATGGACAAAGCAGCCACATGTCTTACAAAAGCAGTTTCTTGCAAGTGTGAAGTCTAGAGATATCCCCCAGATGGAGACATGCCCCAATGCAGCGAGAGCACTGGAGGAACAGAGCTTGCAATGTGCAAATACAGCAGCTCTCCTCTAGGCCCAAGGGAGGTATTGGGAGACCCACAGCAAGTGACTGGAGGAGCAGCCATAGCAGGTTTGCAAGACCTATGCATGCATATTTCGCTGGTTTTCACACCTAGAGAGTGAGAAGCTCCAAGAGGTCTCCTCTATCCATCGTTCCAGGTAAGATGGTCTGGTTGGGTATTACATCCACCCCTGGGGAGGGAACCCATCGAATGCTTCCCACATGGAACTGACAGCACTGGCACAAAATATAGGAATGAGTACAGTGATGTTGGTGCGTGGAGTGACCAACAGGCCTTTCCGTTGCTTAGGCAGCATTCGGAGGACGCCACACTCGCACTGCACAGATATGGGGATTTTACCTGGCACAAGGGAGTGGTGAAGGCATAAGTTATCAAGGTATAATAAACAAATAACAACATTACTGTGTTTTCACATGTAAAACATGGGGCTCGTATCACTCTGGATAAAGTTATTCCTCTGTGAAAGCAAGTCCTCAGATAGCCTGTACCCTCAGATAACCTAGCTATTACACACAGGAATGTACACCGGCTTTTATCAGCTGGAATTGGGAATGAAATGTAGGCAGCCAAGTTTAGAGACTGCTGCTGTGGCAGCTTTCCTCTCCCCCCTCACACCGTCTCTCTGGCTCTGCCCTCTACACTGCTGCTTCTGCTGTAGGTGCTGGGAAGGCTGCTGTCCACAGGGACACTGAGATCCTTGGAAGTGAGGGAGCCTGAAATAGGACAAGCAGTGGGGAAGGATGAAGTGACCCACTGTGTGCAAAAAAAGTGCATCACATGAGCCAACACACAAGGAGTTTTACTCCAGATCCCCCACCCCTTGTGAGGGACCACTTCATAAGGGTGTCCTTACAGTTTTGCACCACAGTTGTTACAGTGCAAACATGGTGTGAATTAGATTGCTGAGATCCAAGTTGGGCATTAAAATAGTAAAGGATTGGGAAAGATTTGTGGAAGACCTCTTCTTTCTTTTTGACTCAGAGAGGTGCATAACAGCAGCACTGTTCAGAAGCAGGTTTGTTGTGTACAGGCTGTGAGCTACACATGCAAAAAGCCCTTTCCTGAACTCAGCAGCAAAGTACTGCAGGACCAGAATGACCTTGCACCTGTATTCCTGGGCAGTAGGTTTGCTTATAAAATCTGCATCAGAGACTTCCTTCCAATTAGGTCATTCGATCTTTGATCATTTTTCTGTTCCATAAAGTACAGAAAATATTTACATTCAATGCGCAGGTTCTTTCTTCAATTCCTTGACAGTAGACTGCTTTAATTATATGTGTGCTGACAGGACTACAGAGAGCTCCCATGTGACCACTGTGGAAGGGAAGAAAGCTTATCATCAGGTGACAGAAGAATGCCCTCATTGTCAGTGCCAATGCTTACAAATAAACCTTTCCAGTGTGTCATATACCAGCATAAATATACCACTCCTGTGGCACTGAGCTAGTATGTTAATAAAGTTAGAACTGAGGAAGGGTTGTACCTGAACCTCTTCCCCTGGGACACACGTACCTCAAGATTTGGGGTGGATTAGCTGTACAAGCTGTGAGCTGTGTGGCTCACAGTGCAAAGTATCCCAATTAATAAAATGTTTGCTAATATGCTCAGAGGAGGATCCGTAAGCCTTCTTGGGTCCTAGACTTCACTCCTTTACCCTGGCTGCTGTTACCAGTTATGCTGTGGTAGCTCCTAAGAGTCCTGAGCCACACAGCAGGGCTTGGTTGTGCTAAGTGCTGTGCAAACACAGAGACACAAAATGGATTCTGCTCTGAAAAGACGAGCTCATTTCCCAGCCTGACTGCCACTGCAATAAGTTCAAGGAATAACTCTAGCTTTATTGCAAAGCAAGTTAGCAGAGTAAGATCCTCTGAGCTCAAATTTGCATGGGAGAAAATAAAAGCATTTGTTAGATCGTGACTTCTCATCACAGGGCACAAAGGGGTATTTTCATTGAGCTATCTCCTGCACTTAAGGAAATAATACAGGCTTTTACTCCTTACCGTACTTTAGCAAACCAGCTGCTCCAAAGATCATTGGATGCATACATTTTGCAGTGAAATAGGATATTATCTATATTGTAGTCCATAGAAAGTTAATCAGTAAGTACAGCACAAAGCAAATAAGGAACTGAAAAGAGGCACAGATGATCTTTACTCCTAGTGGGAGGTACAAGAAGCTGAGTGCATGAGCAGCCCATGCGGGAAGGAGTGGTGAGCTCTGCAAGCAGGGAGGAGCATGAGATGGAGAAAGTTGCCTCCTCGAGATAAAGCTAAGGGGAATGAGTTACCTCTGACTGAGCTTTTTTATACCAAGGGATAGCACCTTTCCAGAAACTTGTATCATTTCATATGTTTTGTGTCACTTCTGATGTTGGTTACTTCTCATGACTACATTAGACACAGAAAACATGTGGCATTCAGGATTCAGATACAAGCTCTGAGGCAGTATACTATGATAGCTGTGTGATTTGAATCACTGTCTATTGCAGGTATGTCACTGATGTATTTTAAATTGAAATGTGTGTAAATCATTTACCAGGGCAGTTGACCCATTCACAGCTAAAGTTATAAAGGAGTTAATATGTAACAATTTGTAAGACAAGGAGTATTTTCAAGGTATGCATTGTCTTGCTGAACACTGCAAATGTGATCTTTGATTCCTTCAGGAAACCCACCATTTTCTACCATTCATTTTTCACAGCAAGCACAAGTTTGGCATATGGTTATTAGCAAAAACCAGCAATCTGTCCAAAACCTAACAGACAGTGAATGGTGCTTTAAATTCCTTTTGGTGGTCTGCCCTTTTTGGTTAATAGCATCTACACCCATGAAGCATTGTATGTTAATCTGCCCTGATCTTGCAAACATTTATGTGCCAATAACTATATCAAGCAAACCCCTTTTACCAAAATACATAGGTACTCACAGACTGGAAGCTTTAGATTAATTCAAAGGCTGATTCCAACATTAATACAATACATAAATATTAATATAGCTACTTTTAAAGCTGCTGCTGACGGATTTTCTCTGCAGAAAAGAGAACAACTCCTACCAGCTAAACAGCTATAGATAATTCATTTGAATATAGAGGTGCTAAATACCACTTTGTGCCACTGCTTATGGAGACCAGCTAGTTCTTCATTCCTCTGGAAAATACAAATGTGCAGAATTTTCTAGGGAATGCAGAGCAGAGAAATGCAGAGAAATGTCACAGGAGCTCTGTCTTAGTTCTTATAATATTTTTTCTGCATCCACCACAAATGCTAGTGAATATATCTTCCTTAACCCCATTCTTTCTTCTTCAGAAAATTGATGCTTCTGTCCAGCTGATGGAAGAAAAAAAATGTATATGGCTCGATCACGGCATTCCTGGACTCACCTAAGAATGCAACTAGAGCCTGGGTTCTAAATGACTGCATGGTTATATCATGAACCTGACATTTGATAGCAATCACCTTATTTTCCTCTATCTAAAATGGGACTGCAGGCATTTGGTTATCTCACAGGATGAGCTGAAGTAGAGGCACTAACGCTTGCCAAGCTCCTTGAGAATATAATAGTTACTTTGCATCTTATTTCCTTTTTTAAAAGAGTAAAGTTAGGAGGTGTTGCATGGCCATTCACACCAGATAAGGTATTGAATAGATGTATCTAGTACAGTAATTAACCATGAAAATGCTTTCTTGTATTCTAAAGATTCCTTAATTTTAAAGTGAAAAACACTTGCAGAAGTTTTCACCTTTGGCAATGCCTTTGTGCTAGTGACAGAGCAAACCACCTGGATTACCCTGGAGATCTGGGTGGTAGGCTCTCTTTCTCACTCTTTATAGAAAACATTTTGGATTCTGTATAAAACAGCAAAACTTCAGTGAAATCCAAGGGCAGAAACTGAATTCTCAGGAGTTTTTGTGCTTGACTTCTTGCTCTCTTGTTTTTGTTTGGGTTTGGTCTGATTTGGTTTAAAAGCTTCTATTTGGGGACCCATGTTTCCAACACACTAAGCAAAACTTTGAACACATACTTCAGAGCTGCTGGAAATGGCTGTAGGGGGCAACAGCCTGGTTCTTACTCAGGGAATCATTTAAAGCATACAGAGGGCTGGAAGGACCCTTGAGAGATGTCTTGCCCATGCTTCATCTTGCACAAACGTACTGCAGTGCTGAAGTAGGCACTGGGATGTGTAAGGACACCTTGGTTCTCCTGCTCTGCCCAGGTTGCCTGCCACTAGCAGAGGTGGTGGTCCTGAAGCCCCTGACTTTTAGCTGTGGAAACCTGCCCCACTCAGAAAAGATTCCCTTCTGCAGAGGTTGCTGCTGTTGCATCTCTCTCTCTCTTACACATCCCTGTCTGTGCTAATAACAACCCCAGCTCTGCAGACTATGTGTTAGAGAACATATTAACAGGAGACTGTAGGAGGGAGGGGCAACTAAACACTGAGTTTCTCCAGCAACCTGAATGGGAAGCAAGTGCAAATTACCATTTGTTTTTTGTTTTTGTTTGCAAAGCATTTACCGTTCACGGGTGATCAGAAAGTCCCGACCTGGTGATACACAACAGAATACCTGTCACCAACAGGGCCTGTGTTTTCTTAACAAGAAAAAGCTTTGTGCCAACAGAAACACTTCCCTCACCCTGAAGTGAGCTCTGCATCCAAGTGCTAGTGAGAAAAACAAAGAAAATAAAGGTGTAGGATCATAGCACATTTTCAGCCCTGGCAGGCACCACATTAGGTCCGGGATCCGTGATCGTTATCAGATTCAGGCACATCTAGCTCAGGAAAATTTGATCCAGGTCAGGCCTTGGCACACAGCTGCATTTCTTTCTATGGCAACTGTAAATATACTTCATGGGAATTTCTACTGCCATTGTATTTTCACTCTAAGGACAGGCAACCTCTAATCCAATATAAAGCCTGCAGATACCTTGTTAACCCATCATTTCTTGAACAAAAGGAAGCAAGTGGAGCAAGCTGATACCGGACCAGTGCTTTGCAATATGTGGCCGCGGCAGTCTCAGCTGGTGGCAGGAGCTATAAAGCTGGATTTACCGTCTCCTTGGACTGCTGCCATAAACATAACCTCACATTCTGCCATGACCTCCTAGGCTTCCCCCCCTTCTTTGGCATGAATATGGCCATCGTGACACAGAAAGATCTCACACTTTTTGCTGGATACTGCTCTGATAACCTTGAGCTCACCTGGACAACCACATTCACGAGTTACAAAGTGTTTTGGTAGGACGTGTGCCAGGAGCTTGCCTGCTCAGCCATAGCAATCCATGCCTGTGCCCTGAAACACCTCTGCCAGATCCCTGAAGCACAGGCCTGACTTTACTGAATATTTTTCATCTCCTCATTGATTAGCTATCACGAGAAGGGAACAGCATAACTGATGAACTGCTCTGTTGTTCTCAGCACATGCAGCCCCCATAGAAAACCTATTATTTTCAGGCTTATTACTTTATTTTCTGCTTTTATTGTCTCTCTGAAGCAATGCTACTTCCTAATTAACTGCATCAAAACCACAATACAAGTATTTTTCTATTTTATTTCCCCATAACAGATTATGGTCGCAAGAGTAATTGTCACTAGGTAGTTATATGACTATTAGTAATACACACTCACAATATAATAATACTCAAACCTTGCATTTGTGGTGGGACCCGTTGTTAAAAGACCCTGGAAACCCACAGGAATTCATCAGTTGGTGTTCCAGAGCACTCTCAGAAACAGCCATTCACGTTCTTCATGCTTTTCCTCAATTTGTTGAGGAATTTAATTAATCACATTTAATTTTTGATTGACAAGCCTAATACTGGCATACTTTACTAGAATTTGTGGTCCAGATGCAATTTGGTTATTTGAAAAGAGATCCTCTCCATAATGGTATAATTTGAATCAGTATATCCATCCAAACATGTATTTGGACATACTTAGTTCAGGCTTGTCAAAACTGTGCAACAGATAAACACATCATAAATCCTGATACGTTTAACTGAGGAAAAAAAAATGCCCTTGATGCATCTAATGACTTGGCATAAAACCCAGTTGATACAAAAGCCAAAGACAGATAGGATACAACCATCCTATTTTCACATAACAGTTTGTGCTGCAAACGCATTCTGGTGATGAAGGAGAAAGATCTTGGTTGCATATGCCTTTTGCAGAACTCAGCAAAACCTTAGATTATATTTTGTGTCCTGTCTACACAACACAATTTAGAAAAATTAGGGGAAACATTTCACACCCTGGAGATGAGGAGCAAAGGTGAGAGGGGGCCATTGCTCATTCCGACTGTGAGTGCGTGGGGGCAGAGATGACCATTTCCTTCTTTATCTCAAGGCTGCAGCCTGGAGGGCATCGAGATACCTACCACCCCAGCTCAGAGCATCCCTAGCAGCAGAGCACCAAACAGGCTTCCCCAGTACCTTGTAATTTCTGGCTGTACTCTGTCCTGTCGGACTGACTCCTCCTTAAGGTGCCATGGTCCCCGGCGGTGGTGGTGCTCTCCACCACGGGCTCTGTCCTCCTCCTCTCCCCCATGTACAGCTTGCTCTTCAGCAGGGTCAAATTCCTCTTCCTTCCCCCCACGCCTTCCTTCCCCGGACAGTCCATGCTCGCTTTGCTTGGTGGTGGTGGCCGGGTGGGCAATAGCTTGATTTTCAGGGAGGTGAACTCACTGCCCAGGTGAAGGCTGGTTGCTTTGGGCTTGATTTTGGAGCAGGGCTCCCCAGGCTCCTGAGGGCCCCGGGTTCAGCCCTGCCACCTGTGCTGGAGCAGCTCCACCCCCGGGAAGGTGACGCCCCAGGCAGCGTTTGCATTCACCTGCCTTGTGTGCAAGCACGCCTGGCGGGGCCGCTTTCAGCGCCAGCCCCAAACCGCGGCCATTCACCGACCCTTTCCCTGCCTCAGGGCACGCTCCTCGCCCTGCCGCAGGGCCGTGGGTGTCGGCACCCCGAAGCGGGAATTGCATCATCCTGACTTTCTAGCAGAGAGATGCCCGAGTGTGGCAGGGCACTGCCATGCTTTCACCAGGCCCCTTCCCCCCGTGCACTGCAGGGGCAGTGGGAAGCAGAGGCAAGGCAAATGGGAAGGGGAGGCAAGCCACCACCTCGACCCTCACTCCTTCTCCTTCCTCTGGGCTAATGCCCAACCGGCAGCTTGGTCAGGGCCACAGATCGAGTTGCATCTGCCAGTCCCCCGATCCCACTGAGAGGTGTAGCTTTCGGGCTGGAAACTCCGGATCTGCAGGTTTGGAAGGAGACCAATCCCCCAGGCCAATGAAGAAAAGGGCTGAGAGGGAGACAAAAACCCCTCGGGAAGGTGGGAAGCAGTGTGGAGCTGACACTTCTTTCAAACCAGGCTCTGTCCTGCTTTACACTACTCACAGAGAGGCCAGAGCCAAGGCAAAGCCTGCCAAGGACCTGTGCAGGTTGCTACAACAAACCACCGTGCTCTGATGGCTGAGGAACTGGACACCAAAACACCTGCTTGTCATACCTCTGGATCAGCCACTGGAAGAGATCTTATTATCCTGTCTGTTAGCAATGGCCTCTGGCACACACGGACTGTCTAGTGATCCTCTGTAGCGCCAGTCTAATCAAGCTCATGTCAAAACAGCAGGAGTTGCTGGCATCTAGGCTTGGACCGGACTTATCCTGGGAAGAGCCCCTACAGCCATCAGTAGCAATCGCTGCTGCTGCTGTGATACCCAACCCCGTGGCCCTCGCTGCCACAGGAAACGCCTGGTGGGAGCCCCGTGGTGCAGCCTAATCGGTGTCAGTCTCACACACAGTCATTGCCACAGCATCTGCCAGGGGACAAACTAATGTCCCTCTGACAGACGCTGGCAGAGCTTACAGCTTTAGCACTGCCACGCTGTGCCCCCAAAGGACTGCCTAGTAAAAAACAAGTGGCAATGAAACGTGGTAGTGTAACCTCATTTCCAACTTCTATTTTTCTTTACAAAGCTGGTCCTGTGATGCAACCTCCTGATCAAAGACCTTCATTTCTACCCAGCAGTGAAAGGAAAAGGTTATGAAACTGTTAAGCAATTTACTACGTCAAATTGCAGCACCATGCCAGTGCTGCACAAAGTGTCCAACCCAAACACAGTGTGGCAGAGGAATAAAATGTGAGGGGAATACCGGGAAGAGTGTGCTCACACAGAGAAGTCACATATTACATAGGCAATTCATGTGTTACGTCTTGCCTCCTCTGATATTTCCTAAGAAACTCTTTATTCTGCAAGTCAGACCACAAAAGTTCCTTGACAGGCAGAGCAGTGGTGACAGCAGGGAGAGGCGTAGGCAGGGACAGAGTGGTGACACACTTGTGACAAGAATCAAAGCCCCAGCAACAAGTACACAGATTAAAATGGGAGCTGAGGAAAATCAACCACCCCATTTCCTTACACTGGGGACTTTGGGAGGAGCTTTTTTTTGAAGCAATGGCTTGGCATTCATTAAGGGTGGTAAAACTGGTTTAAACAGTCACCACCCTGACTGCCCCCCTTCTCCAGATGATTTTGTTCCCATTCTTGCTACAGGGTGTAAACATACGAATTTGAGATGAGATGGAGGAACTGATCTGGCAGAAAACTCCCTCCCTCGCCCCTTTTCCCTGGGCTATTTTCCATCTGGATTTGTTCTCCTGATTAGTTCATCACCCAGCTACAAAAGTAGTTGTGGCAGCTTGAGGCAGTCAAGCCTCAAGATGACGCAGGGATCTGAGCAGCTGTGGGTAGGACTAATGGTCGCTTAAACCAGAGTTACCCAGAGAAGGTATCTTCCCCCACCAGGATTTTAGTGTCATGCTTTTCGGAAGACACAGGTCCCATCGCTTACATGAGGTTTCATTATATTTATTTAAATTAAGATGACATGAGGGAGAACTGAGGAATGTATTTTGGCTGGGTGGGGGTGGAAGAACAAACTGTATTAAATTCTTGGCTTTGTAGGCTCTGCCACAATATGCGGTGTTACAGCCAAGATAGGATATAGTAAAGTTTGCTCAGGTGTTTATTACGACAGCAACCTACCCACATGCAAAAGTGGCCTTCCTCTTCCTCCTCAGCTCAGTCACAGAGTGTGAAAAGGTATGTGTTCATTCAGCAGGACAATTGTTACGGGGAAAGACAGTTGCAGCTTGCTGCTGCTGTTGTCCTTGCAATGGTTTACCTGGCTTCAGAGAGCAGCATTATTTCAGAGGCAGACAGGAGCCCAGAGCAGGCTCACAAAACAGTTTAGAACTGTACATAAGTCCTTTCTGCAAAATTCAAAATACCTCCTCTGTGCCACTCAGCATGTCTTCTGTAATTCTCCAAATGAAGGGGACACATTCAGGACTGTTGGCTTTCCTATCCCCTCTGGACAGAGGGAGGTTTGAGACATGACTTATCCATCATCACATTAAATCGCATCATTTTTTTACACTAGTGGGCTGCGCCTGTGCAGTCAGCAGGAGAAATCTGTAAAAATAATCAGATGTGCAATTGAGTGAGATACCTCTATAAACTCTTATTAATGTTTACTGAACTTTACTTGGGCTATAACAAAATGCCACAGAAAGCACAGTCAGAACTGCATGAGAAGTACTTGACTTTACCTGCCATGCACAATAGTATGAGCAACCCTCTCTCAATTTCAAATTATTCCCACCCTCTTCTGGCCCCAGTGACAACTGATTTGGGCAAGCAGTATCAAAGTCAGTAATCCATAAGACAAGAAGGAATATTTGACATCTATGTGGACAAAACACTCATTTTACAATTAATGTGAAAATCTGTTTAACCACTCTATGTTGTACTCATTTAATTCTACAAAGCAAACTGGAATCCAGTTGATGTGAGCACTCACATAGGAGTTATTTGCACGGAAGCCACCCTGCTTAAGAGACAGAACAGGTGCTGGAGTCAACACAGAAAATATTGGCATTGTGTTCCCAAGCAACTGTATTAGGCACATATAAGAGCTTATTGTTGCACAGTCAGTGCTAACCTTTATCTCAGTCCTGAGCTATAAATGAACGAGGAGCACCATCAAGACTGATGGCCATTAAGTAAGCAAACAGTTATTTGTTTTCTTGTAGTGCCTCACAGCTGTTATGGAAGATTTCTTTATAACTGAGTATCCCAGAGGATACATGAAAAATGCTGGTGAGGTTTGACTACTGTACCTGTTCCCTAAGAGAGGAGGCATGGACCGCTGCTGGAGTCCTGCAGCTGTGGGACAGGACTGGCATTTTCAAGTTTGTTCACTGCCATGGCCAGCGCAGCGCAAGCGAAAAGACAATCTCAATCTGCAGCTGCAGAGTGACTTCACCAGGCAGTAACAGTATTGCCCATGTAAAGAGATAACATTTAACGGGCAGTGAAGAAGCAGAAAGGTACCATGGTACTGTTGTAGAAAGCTGTCCTATCCTCCTCACAGGTGGAGCAACAGAGCAAAGAGCGCAGATGTCCCTACAGCTGCCTGCCTCCATACAGAGAAGCCAAAGTGCCTGTAAAAGCAAGCCTGTACCTCTTGTCACTATGCACGAGTCATAGCAAAGATGTCTTCTGAGGGACAAAACGTTGAGGCTTTGATAAGAACAATCATGTGTAAGGCCCACTGAGGACTTTGAGCACTGGAAAGTTGCTGGTATGTACTCCCTACCTGTTTGCAACCATACTGGTAAGATAAGAGAGTGACAGTTGGGGATGAAAGCAATAAAAAGAGAAGGCTTAAGGACAGGTAAAACTGGAGTCTACACACTGATTTTTCACAATGAATGAATCAAAATTACTTTGAAATATACATAGAAAAAAACACTTCAAACACCTTGCAATATTACAAAAAAAGAGAAAAAAGCCTGTCTTGTAGGTGAAAAGTTATTTAGTGTGGCAATCTCACCTGCACTCTTACTGTTGATCCTGCCAGACTGGTGATTCCTGTAAAGAAACAGGTCTTTAGAAGTAAGTGCACAGTGATAATTTCTTTTAGCCCTGTCTACAGTATTTCTTGTCTAAATATTTGTAGGAAAAATTCATAAAGTACATGCCTGCCGGGGCTCAGGCTAGGCTGCTGATATTTCTAAGAAGGGATGGCTCAACCTTTCAAGCTATGCGATCCATCTTCTCCAACTGCTGTGATGCTTTTTTACTCCAAACAAAGCCTCTGCTCCAGTTTACACATACAAAAGGCTGACACGTTTTCTGCCAACAGAGGGGGACCCGTCTCTCAAATCAAAACACCTGCCAGAGAGGAGAAGGGATGCTGAGAGAGGGGTCAGCAGGGCTTGAATTGTCCTTGCGGTGCCTGTGGATCTGTCACTATCCAGCTGGGCTTTGTGTAGGTCCGTGAAACAGTCTCAGAGCTGGGCCAGCTCCCAAAGGCGGACATCTAAGGGCAGGGCTGCTTTGAAAGGGCTAGGAGGTGAGGAGAAGTAACTTGCTACGAAACTGAGCAGCCCTTTGATTTCTTCGGAGTTACAGCTGCGTAGTTATTTTCTAAGGAAAATAACCTGACTCTGTTGATCAAGTAGATGGCACTGTGATATCAAAGCTAATGAGGAGAGACAAACAAGCAAGCGAGGCACAGGTAAAAGAACAGGAAGATGAATCCTTATTATTGTTA